TGCTCTGCAGCATGAGTATTATTTCTTTTTTTTTTTTTTTTTTTTTAAGTGTAAATTTACATTTGGCTGCAACCTGCTTCCTTAATGATGGATCAGCCTTTTGTGCAGGTATAAGCTCTGATTGATGGGACACGGGGATAGGAGAGGAGAATGGAGAAAACAAGTTTATAAATTTGACATAAGATTTGAATCGCAGCAGGAACTCTGCCAGCCTCCTTAGGCATAAAATTGGACTGGCTGGAGATATGTACTGCATGTGTGATGTTTCAGCACTTACTGCTTTCATTATATCTTTACTTACTCAGTTAACAGACTACTGAACTTGCAAAATCTGGCAGACATTTTTTAAAATAAATTTTACAATGGGAGAAGGGAGAGGAGGAACTGGAAAGACCTGAAAATTACATACCAGATCTTCATCTGGTGTACTCCAATATCATTTAATTGATTTCACTGGAGTTACACTGATTTTCTCTAGCTGATGACCTGACTCAGTACTTTAGCTACTTTTTTCTTCCCTTCTGAACAGGCTGTGTTGACATTTCATGTTTTCTATTATTATTCTTCTTCCTTCCCCTTCTTTGTTTTGGGAATTATATGGCTTATTGACTAAAAAGCATTAGAAAACTAAAGTTAATGGGCCAAACTCTTCCCTAGTGCAACTTTATTGAGTTCAAGTTATATAGAGATGAATGAGTTCAGGGACTCCTCCAAAGAGGGTTATTGCAGAGGCTGATTCTATAATAAAAGAGAAGTCCATAGCTTTGTTGTCATTTCAATGGAAATTAAATGTTGCAAGAAGCCTAGTGCTTTCATCTGCAGCTGATGTGATGAAACCTGAGGGTACTGAGCACAAAAAGGTAAAATCATGCCTCGTTTTAATGGATTAGAACAAATCCTTTAATATTATCAAGAATACATTTAATAACACTCCTGATCATGTCTACCTACTCACTGGAGCACTCTGAGTTGTATGGCCAATAAGAATGACCATCTTTTCCACCATACCTCTACCAGTGGCAAGTGAGGGAGAGGCTCACTCACCGGTACAGCATCTGTCCCAGGAGCAAGGTGAGGCTGTGAGGATGACTCATTAAGATGGAAGAAATGCAGCACCAATATGGAACAGGCTCAGAGAAAACAGACTCTTACGGATGGGGCAAAAAAAAAAAAAAAAAAAAAGGTGGTTTCTAAGTGGGAGTGTTTTAGAACAACCTTCTCATGATCTTAGTGGAGCTGAAACCACTTTCACTTGTGAAATGGAACTCACTGAGACACACTGAAACAGTTGCTGCTGGTAATATTAAAAGACAGAACTGAATGTGTGAAGAGGTGCCTGAAAGTCCTAGTCCTGGGTTTCTTGGAGCACAAAGACAGATGCTGGTTTTGTCAGAAGGCTGTAGAAACAGGAACTTTTAGTTTGTCCAGCAGTAGTGTCACTTAATGAGAAAAGGCCTGGCACACCCTAGACAGAAAATAGTGTACTTCTTACTGTGGTGTTTAGGAGCTAAGTCCTATCATAGCAAAACACAGTAGAAATGCAGAAGGGTAGATGACTTCTTCCTTAAAGAACTCTAACGGTCATTAGTTATGAAAAAATATAAAATCAGCTGGAAAGTGAAAATTGTTAGGTAAAACATCATTCCATAAACCTAATTTAGTGATGCTCTGAGTTTTCAACTAGAGCTTTATGCATGTCTTTGTGTTATGTGGATGAGAATCCACAGGGCCATTCCTGTGAGAGCCTCAGCAGTCTTCAGGGGTATATGCTGCTGGCCAAACACTCTCTGTTAGACTTTGGACATCTGCTCCATATGATCTAGATCTGAATGTTTTCTGATATTACAGGGACAGCTTAATTTCAAGGCTAGAATTGTGAGAAGGAACTGTGTCCAGTTTTTTGTCCTAAATGATGCTACTAGGTTTGAATTTAACCTCATATTAATGTTTTTTTGTTTTTTTTTTTTTTTTTTTTTTACAGCTAACTATTGTTCTGCATGGATATTTTAAATTATTCAGTATCTATGGTATACGAATCAATGACCTTTTAATGCACCTATAAATAAATGTAAAACATACATTTGAGGAAAGAAAAGGTGTGTTCTTTTCTTAAACCCCATTCTTACCCATTTTTAAAGGAAATATGGTAGCCACTGTGTTAACCACCATTGTGGTATCTGAATAGCAGAAACTCTCTCTGCTGTACACCCAGTACATAACGTCTTTCTTGGGATACTACTAGAGGAAAAATGAGGTTGCCAATTCAGTTTTGTCCCAGTTCATTAGTGACTGAAAGCCATCACCAGCTGACAGATTACTAAGGGTTATGTATAGTTCTTAGTTGTCTCCATCCAGTTTTTAGTGGACAGATGTCCACATTTAGAAAAGATGAAACAAAGCAAGTCTGACACCACAGCTACTTTCAGCAACTTTGCTGAGTATCTTTAGCAATAATGTGGGACCTGGCTGAACATTTGATCAGTCCTCTTGCTTACTGTGGGAGTCCCACTAGCAGAAAATAGATGGTGTATGAACAAGTAATGCTGTCTTCTGAAAGATGGTATATATTTCTTAGTAGGATTAAGAGGTTACATATTTTTCTGTGGCTATCAATCGAATATGAACTGCGAGCGATACTTTTACTTCAAAACAAGAAAAATAGCTCCATTCCCTCCAAAGAGAATCATGTCAGAGGCAGAGCTCTCTACTTCTCTACTCCTACTGTTTTCTCGATGCTTTACCTCATCAGGCTTCTGGGACCTGACAAACTATCAGACTGAAAAACAGAAAAGGGATGAGGGAGATTTCAATTCATAAGCAAAGCAATGAAGACTGTCAACCTCATACTTGCTATAGGTTTTCCAATCACAAGAATGGCATAATAACAGTAAGTAACTAAATCAAGGTACAGCTAGCCAGTTATTTATAATCTTCATGAGAAAAAATAGATTTCTTTCTGTGTACCTTTTGTCAAAAAGTTTGTAAATGGTTACACGTGTTGAGTTAAATTGGTGTTTCAAGATCAAAAACCCAGGTAAATATTAGGGCAGCATAGGAATGTGTGGCTGGGCTATGTTGTGGCAGAAAGCCAGGGCCTGTCCCACTGCCCCAGCCAGAGAGCAGGGCAGACTTGGGGGCAGCCAGAGCAGCTCCAGCACTGGGCATCAGGTACCTCCATGGCGATGGGACATTAGCCCAAGAGTGGGAGCTGGCTCAGTGGAGCCCATGGCTGGTCCAAGCAGGGATCTGGTGGAACAGAAAACTTATCTCTGTGGAGTTGCTGGGACATGAAACTCCCTGAAATGGGGTCTTGGGCCATGAGCTGGGGAGATAGGTGACCTAAGGCCTATTTGTCCCTCAAGTACCTCTCAGTTGCACTCCAAGTGTAGAAGGGACAGATGCCCTTTTTCTGTTGGCACAATGAAGGTCAGCATTTGCTTCACAACGTACTTGGAACATCAGCAATCTTGACACTCTGGTTTGCTTCCAGAACTTGTTTCTGCTAACACATACATGCAGTTGCCTTTACAGCGTGTGTGCTAGTTTACTCCTGGACTCCCTTCTGGAATATACTTATTAGTCTCCTTAAAGAACAAACCCAAGTAGAGCTGCCGGGAGAGTTTGCTTATGGCTGTGCAACAGACTGGCAACAGATGTGCCTTGTTTGACACCTAATATTTAGAATAATTCTGCCGTACTTCTGTAGGCCAGAAACACTCAACCACTACAACGTGCCTTCATGTCATGCCCTAGATGTCACGCTGTAAAAACCTTCCTGCAAGCCATAAAACAACCCTCACATTATATCAGGCAATTTGAGCTGGAAAACACACAGAAATAATCGGGTCTTTTGGCTGCAGGAATGGTCCCTGAAGCTTAGATAAGAGATGGATCAAATAATACTCAGTTTGGGTTACATATGGACCAGTCTGCAGGAGCCAAGTCAAGATAAGGTAGATGTGAGTCACATATACTACTTGATTCAGGGGCAACAGCCTATGGTGGCTGTTTTTAGCTGTATAGATATTGCCATGAATGCCGAGTGCCTTGAAGGGTCCACAGAAACGGCAGCAGACAATAAATGGGATAATGCCGTTATCTAGCTCTGCATCTGCTCTGTACCAAATGGCCCTGCTCAGCTTTAGTGTGCTACCTCGGCTGCAGCAGTGTGGCATGTCGTACAGACACTGCGCCCGCTCAGACATCTGTCACCTCCAGCAAGATCGGTGTCAGTAGCGTAGGCAACGATTCCCAGACCTGTATGGAATGTTCAGCACTGTGTTTTTGTCATACTTTAGGATCCTTCAAAGTGAAAAATACTCTTCCTATATACCCCTATGGCAGCATTTAAGAACTTACAAATGTAAGGACGTTAATATGAGAAAGTAGTATAGAGTGACATTTTTAATTGAAATCGCATCTTTCTACAATTTTGTCAAAATGTCTTTCCTAAACATTTTCTTCCTCTTTTGCTTCTCCCAGACCAAACTTACTTATTTAGTTAGACACACCAAAATCTAAGGAAGTTGGGAAATATACCACTTCAAAAACTTTATTTTAATGCCAACTTCAGAGGTCTTCTGTAATTTTTTCCCTTTTTCCCTTAAACAAAAGTTGAATAATAACCTAAAAATGTGTCTGTAATAATGAAATTGACGGTGAGTTTAACTGATTTTAACTGAAAAAGGATCCAATTTTTTCCTGAGACAAAATAATTCCAAAACATGTACACACAGAGATATGCATTACTTAGCTTTAAAATTGTCTTTCATATCTTTACAGTTTTATGTTTTTTCTCCACAGCCAAGAAGAGCAATAAATTTATCTTTGTTATGGAAAACAAAGATTTTATGCAAAAAGCTGGGCTAGGATCAAACCAACAAAGAAACAGAAGCCATCAAAAATTACAAGGCAGGAAATAAATGAATGGCAGCTGCCAGAGCTGTAGAAAATGTAAATGTGATCAAGAAAAGATAAATTAAGATATAAAAAGCCAGATAAAGTATTAACTTTTTTTATTTAAAAAAGTTATTTTAACATCATCTGTGCAAAGGAATTTTTTAATTTCATTATGTTTAAATTACACTTTACACTCATGACACATGCCGGCTTGGCAGTGCTGGAAAGCAAAGGCTTCATTTTAGTGATATATGGCTTTGGGTCATGGTCTTCTCTAATTGCCTAGTAGTTTCAGAGAAAAAGAAAAAAAAGACCTCCTGGCCACAGCACCTGAGGGAAAAAAAAATAGTGTTGAAGTTAAATATTCCTTTCCTTATGCATGGGTTCCTCCCCTGCTTTGGTCTCTTCCCCCATTGCTGCTGACGTGCAAGAGAAGAGGACTTGCTGAAAACATGTCCTTCCACATCCACCCATTAATGGTTCTTGCTGTGAAAATGAAGGAGAATGTGCTGGTTTCAAACAACAATTATCTTTTTTTTTTTTTTCTTTATACGAGCAGCACATGGTGGGAGAGAGCACCTCTGTCTCGATGCTTCCTCAGGACTAGCACTGCCGTATGTACAGCGAGCTACATCAAAACAGCACTTTCTGTACTTTTGTTCAGTAGTGCTGAGAAGTTCAGCAGCTGTGACAGAGCATAAAACACAAACCTCCTCTTTACGCAGCCCTAGCTGCTTTGCCTATATAGACAGAATAGGCATAGGATAATAATGACATATATTTTTTTCACTTAAAAGTGCCTGCAATCCTTAACCCTCAAAACACTAAGGATTGTTTAAAAAGCATACAATCATTTACAATATGTAAGTTGTGGGTGATTTCTGGTTGCCTGTGTCAGATGCAGAGTCATTCTGTACTTGTATTTTACAATTTTGTTTTCTGTTTGCTGATGATCGCTGATCACCTATTGCTACTGACAACTGAGGCTCTGGGGAAAAAAAAAAAAAAAAACAAAAAACAAAAAAACACGTAACAAATGAGCAAGAACTACTCCCAAAGGAAGCATGGTGAAATCACTGTGATGAATTCAGCCATCAACCTGTAATACTCATGTCCTTGCACAGCGCTTGCTGCACAGCGGCAGAAGGCAACCACCATTTCTGCTTGGCCTCCTTCAGAGGTGTCAACAACATAAAGGAAGAATCATTAACTCTAAAATTACCTGGTGTGCGACTGTCCCTAGAGAAATGTGAAGCACACAGTCTGCGTGCCCCACAGAAGCGGCACCCGATTTCCAGGGCACTGATGGGTTTTGGAGATGAAGAACATGGCTGCAGTGTTGGAGAGTCGCAGCCTCGCGAGGGACACTGGCAAATCCAGGTGCTGCTGGGCCTGCTGCTGGAAAACAACAGGAGTCAGAATCTCGAAACATTCAAGCGCATCACTCTGGTAGCAGCTACAGCGCGGCCCAGTCCGCCCTGCCCTCATGTGGGTCGGGCAGCCATCTCGCACCTAGCTGAGGCAGCCTCCATCTTGCCATACCTCCTCCGGGAGCCGCCATCTTGCGTGCCGTACAGCCGGCGGCAGCCATGGTGGTGGAGGAGACGTGGGCGCAGCCATCTTAGGGCCGCCCGCTCAGCTGACTTCGGCCGGAGGCCATCTTAGCGAAGGTCCGTCACAGCGCCTTCCTCCCTTAAGTAAAATGGCGGCGGCGGCGCATGCTTAGAGTGAGGCGGCGGGGGGCCCCAGGCGTCGGGCTGTTGTGGTGGAGGGCTTGAGCGCTACTGTGGCGGCGGGCGGGGGCCGGCGGCAGCCATGGGCGAGACTGATAAGCTTTATTATGTTTATAGCTGTGACCTGGACATCAACGTGCAGCTGAAGATGTGAGTGAGGACGGCCGGGGTTTACAGCGTTCCCCCCGCTCCCCCACCCCCTCACCCCCCCCCCCCCCCCCCCCCCCAGCGCACCGCCGCGGTGTGGGGAGGCCGGGCCGCCCGCCTGGGCACCGGAGCCGCGCTGCGTCCCGGAGCCTGTCAGCCCCGCGGGAGGCCGGCTGTGGGGCGGCGCGGGCGCTGTCTTCCCCCCCCGCCAGTGCCGGGATGCTGCTGCCGCCGCCGCCGCCTGTTTCCTTGGGGAAAGGCGCCGAGTGGTGCCGTGGGGAGGAGGGCCGGCTGAGGGGCCGCGGCGGCGGCGGCGGCAGCAGCAGGGACGGGCTTGTAAACTTCGCTCTACAAACGCGTTCGTGGCCTTGGGTCCTGCCGTGCCGGACGGTGCTGTGAGGCGAAGGCGGGTTGACAGTTCAGCGCTAATGTGTTTGGTAACCTTTTACCTCCTGGTGTCGTATCTCGCTCCTCAGTGGTAGGGGACGGAGGTGAAATGGCAACACTGTTTCTCCCAATTGTTTGCATACTTCTTTGAAGGCAAGTTACTCTTGCCGAGTACTTTGTTGTGGGCAGGTCCAGGTGCTGCAACAGGTAAGTATGTTCCTAACTGGGTATATGCAAGCACTCCTGTTGAAGGTGGTATTATCACACACTGATGTACTTGCTTGTTCATTTTTTAATTCCTTAATTTTTAAGTTTGGGTTTTTTCTGCATCGCGAGAATGGGATATTTACAGTTGTGTAGGAGGGATGTGGCTGGCTCTGTAGTGTACCTAATGTTGCTACATTAAGGTATATTGCACTTTTTGGTAAAAGTAACTTGGGGAAGCTTATTCAGGGGTTGTTTAGCTTCTGAATGTAAGATATCTGAAGTCTGATGCATGTGGTCTCTTCCCAGATCCATTCTACCAAAGCAAAAATCTTGCCAAACTAGCATTTTTTTTAGTGCATTGGAGTGTATGTTCTGGAATGTGCTGTGCTAGTTTCTTGCAAGAAACTTGGTCATCTATTCTGAAGTGTTTTTTTTGTGGTAGACTTTTGTTTGCTGGAAGATTGATCTTAAGTGCTTTCCCATCGCCAGCCACCACAATTCCTTTTTTGTTTTCGCATGTGCATCCACAGTCAGATATTTAATATGCATGATTGTTTTCATCGTGATATAGCTGAGGCCTGGGAGATTCCATCAACTCTAATGCTAGCATTCTGCAAATTGTTGCGGGCTTTAATCAAGTTTGATTTGAACAGTTTGCTTAGTAGAGCTTTCATTTGTTGTTGCTTTGAGAGATAACATCCCAAACCAGTCATATGTTTTACATTTCATGCAGCTTAAAAATAAGGCTTCTCTTATCATGCGGTTTTTAGTGGTTTGTTTTTTTTTTTTTTTTTTTTTCCAAATAGCATTTGGAGCACATGTAATCTGATGTTGTGTTTTTTTAATATTAGCAGTATATGTCATTTCATTGTTGCCCTGCTTAGGACACCTCATTTGATGCTGTCAGAGAATCTACAGGTTGTATTATAAGAAGTTATCTCCAGTGAGAAGATAAACCAGTAATTCTTCCTTTTCCTTCTCTTCTCCCTTCTCCCCCCTCCCTCTCCCCCAAATAAGTATAGCAATAAGTTATGTATTTGTTCATCACTTCACATCCTGAGTTCCTTTCAGATATTTGGATTTCACTATCAGCTAATAGTACAAAGTGAGGATTAGCCTCAGTACTGGGTAATCTAAATATAAGCCAGGGAAATAGAATAGAATTTTCATGGTGGATAAAATAAATTTTGGTTTATTTATTTTTTCTTTTTCCCCTCCTCTTCACCCCACCCTCCCACACCCCACCCCAGAGGAAGTCTGGAAGGGAAAAGAGAACAGAAGAGTTACAAAGCTCTCTTAGAAGATCCAATGCTGAAGTTCTCAGGACTGTATCAAGAAACTTGCTCTGACTTGTATGTAACTTGTCAGGTGTTTGCAGAAGGGAAGCCTCTTGCTCTTCCAGTTAGAACTTCCTACAAGGCTTTTAGCACTAGATGGAAGTAAGTGACTGCGTTTTATTTTATATTCCTCTTAGTTACTGGGGCATCAGGTCATAGAAATAAACCTCTATTTTTTTATTTATGTCAAAAATATTTGTTTTTTATTGTCTTTTTTCAAATAACTTCTGTTTCTTCTAGTCTCTATATGGTTATTAAGTGTTGCCCTGACAGCATGAAACAACCTGTTTGTGTGATGGGTAATAAAATTGTTACTTGTGTGTTTTGGCATGGCTCACTACTTAAATAACTTCTAGGGCCTCAACTATTACACTTTAATACTGTTTACTGGACAGACTGATCTTTGCTAGTCATCAAGCTAGAGTATTTTTCTTGTGGTCTCTAACCTTTTAATTGTACTCAAGTATTTGCATGGTTAAAAGCCAGAGGAAAATAGTCCATCTGCCCTTAGAAATTCATCTTCAAAGTAGAATCTGCGTTGTATAAACTAATACTGAATAACTTGAATTCTAAAACTTTATGACTAATGAAAAGTGTTTCTCTACAGCTGGAATGAATGGCTGAAACTGCCTGTGAAGTATCCAGACTTGCCTCGTAACGCACAGGTAGCTCTGACCATCTGGGATGTATATGGACCTGGTAAAGCAGTTCCTGTGGGAGGAACAACAGTCTCACTCTTTGGGAAATATGGGTATAATGCTTTTTCTTCTACATTACAGATTTGAAGCTCACTTGTGAATAGCGAGGTAGCAGTGGTTGTGAAAGATTCTTTTTTTGTTGTTTCTAAATCAGGTTAACAATTCCATGTTTGAAAAATCAGTTACATAGATGATTTACTCTATTTCTTCCTGAGTGTAACTTCATATATGCTATGGCATTGTGAAAAAAAAGGCTTCTCTTGTATAACACCAAAATTCAGGCTTTTTTCCTAGATCTGTTAGCTTGGATTTTAAGGTAGCAAATGCTGAAATCACTTACTTATACGTATGTAATGGATGGATGCCAGTACTGATTACTTAACATAATGGATTTAATTGGCTTGCAGTTGTGCTGTTAATGCAGTATTATTTATAAAGAATAAAGAATAGCTCAGTAAATCAGGAGTTTTCAAAATTAAAAATCTGTGATCCGATAGAGGGTGGGTTTCGTAAATTTGTGGATGGTAATGCTAAGCTGGGAAGGATTGTAAGTGTGATGGAAGGTGACAATACATGAGAAAGATCCTGACTAAGTGCAAAAGGGACTGGAAAAAGATCACAACAGGGTGCATTTTAAGGGAAGGTATCAGGCATTAGTACTTTTTGCAACTGATTGTAATCAAATACAGAATGAGTAGATCTACCCTGGAAAACAGAGGAGAAGATTGGGTTTTAGAGTGAACCTTAAGTTTAGCATGATTCAACATCACAATGCTATTGTAAAATGTGCAGACAGCATTGAGCATGTACAGTCTTACAAGTGCGTGCATCATGGACAGTGTTGTATCTTCCTTGTCTGTACCCATCCAGCTGGGATATGTTCAGTTCTATATAACTGGATAAGCAAGTTGCTGACTACTGGGAGTCTAAGGGAGTCCATATCATGGCTTATCTAGCAAATAGGTATGATGGAGGAGTAAAGACTGGTGAGGCTGAAGAAGAGACTATAGGAACGTTTTTCTACTGCATAGATAGTGTTGGAAAATGGGGAGAAATAGCCTTTTTTTGTCTTGTTGGTGGATCAGAAGTAATAAGACTAAACTGAAGTGCAGGAGAAGTTTAGGTTAGCATTGGAAAAGCTGTTCTAATGCTACCTGAATGTAGAAAATGATTGTAGAGAGAGGTTTTATCTCTGTCACTGAAGATACTGCTTGACAAAAAGATGGACATTGTCTTAGGGCAGAAAATAGAACTAGACCAATTGGACTGTGCCCTAAAGACTTCTGGCAGTTTTTAAAGCATTGGAGCATAGTTTTTGGAAAAAGATAGAATTTATAAAAGTAAATTTAATTTATTTCCATCATGTGGGGCCTGGGGGAATTATATGGACAGAAAACAACAAATAAGTTTTAAAGTTTGTGTTTGCTTATAAATGGAAACCATTGTAATATTTCACAAAGTGATGTGTAAATTCAAGGTCAGATGGTCCTTCTAGTCGATATTTCTCATTTTTAATGGTTGACTTTTTAAAGCATTCCTTACAGTTGTATTTACCTGAAGTTGTTAAAGCTAAGTGATCACCTCTTACTGGCAAAAGTAATGCACTTGATTTCTTGGGGCATCTTTTATAGGTGGATCAGAACAAATGCACAAGGGAAGCATGGTTTTGCAGAAAAAAGGTGTGGTCAGTTACCCTGCAATGTTCTGTTCACTGCACAGTTTCAATTACCAATTCAGTTTCAAGCACAGATGGAGTAAATGGTGTGTTGAGGGCTGTGTGGTTTTTTGGGCTTGGTTGTTTTTTTTTTTTTTTTTTTTTTTTTTTTTTTTTTTGTTGGCAGCTCAGAAGGCTTCTTTTTATCAGTTGGCCTTCAGATGAAACTTGGGTAGTTTTTTAGTTTAAATTTTTTTCAGACTGGCAAACTTAAAGTCAGTATTATAATTTGCAAGTCAAAAGGAATACTTTGAGCTTCATTGAAAATAATAAAACTATGAAGGTCGAGGTCTGTCCTCAGTTTGCATTTGTACCACCCCACTGGCTTTGGGAATTACCAATTTTTCTTCAGCTTGCCAAGTAAGTTAGCTCAGACTCACTCATTTTCTTCTAAACTATGTGTGACAATAAAAGTGAAGGCTATAGAGGGTACAAGGTGTGAGGCACTTTTACCGAACCTACAAATATGCACTGCCATGTATAATTTAGCTGCACTGCAAAGGAAGCTACTTCATTTTCTTGCAGCTGCTGCTATACTATGATTCCCAACAGCTGTATTATTTTGAATTTGCTGAATCAATTATGCATTTTTCCCTGCAGTATGTTTCGTCAAGGAATGCATGATTTGAAAGTCTGGCCCAATGTAGAAGCTGATGGCTCTGAGCCCACCAAAACGCCTGGGAGAACCAGCAGCACAGCCTCTGAAGATCAGATGAGCCGCTTGGCAAAGGTAATAGAATAGCAAGGAACCTTTAGGATGTATCTGAAAAGCTTGCACGTTCAGTGGAGTGAAATCAAGACAAGCTTCTCATGTTGTTTTCTCATTTGAAAGCTATCTTCCTTTGATTGTTTAGATCTTTCACAATATTTATACAAATGAGTGTACTAGATCATACTCATTTGCTTCGGAAGTATTTTTTAAAAGGGGACGTACAAATACCTTTTATATATATAGTATTCTGTTGTAACAACATAACATCCTAATTCTTTGTAGAGCATGAAAATATGAATGTGCTTTGAAGATGCTTGAAGCCAGAATTCCATCAGGTTCAATAAGAGCAGATCCTAACAGTAACTTGTGAGGACAATCTAACTTTTTTCAGTAGCCATCCTTTAGATTTAAGGCTGTCTGGTGTAGTGTTCAGATGTATATGACATGTCACTACATTAGAAAGAATTTGGGTAGAGCTGCAAAAAATAACTGAAGTTTCATTAATTTAAGCTCATGAATGTGTGTGTATATTAGTATTCTCCCAGCTTGGTGGCAGAGTATTTTTTCCATCAAAATTACTTCTAGAATTGATCAGTAAATGTTAGTTCTTGAACTGTTTTACTAGCTGATCTTTCTCATTCTTGTAAGCTTACCTTACCCTAGGCTTGCCAAATGGCTCAACCTACTAACTGAGTGTACTTGCTTTTTAATCTTGGTCTCCAAGTTTTCATCCTCACCTTTGTGCAACTCTCACTGAAAGATAGGTCCAGTGCCATAAATGTGGCCCATTTTCTCATCTAGAGATTTATCACAGCAATAAACTAATTTAGGGTCTTTTATTAGTCTAGTTCACCTTGAATTATAATGGAAAACTCATTAAAGCTTTCTGCCAGTGGTGGTGCCCCATTTCTTGATCACAGTTGATTAAACCCCGTGTAGCCTAAGGAAGCTCTGTAGACAGACACTAAATATCAAGGCTTGTTTGTAGTTCATCATATAGATATGTCATGTAGGCAGTGGGTCTCTGAGTAAGGGTTTTAGAGTGTAGGCCTTCCCTTTCATGTTAGTTCAGTTACTCAGACATGTCCATACCCTACCTGGGTTATTTCTCCTCTTCCCTTCACTCCCTTATGCTCCCTAGCTCAATAAATAGAAACAATGTAGAGTATTTAATTCTTAAAATACCTGGGTCTGTTCTATCCTGTTCTATTGGCATAAAACCTCTGAGGAGGAGGAGGCCATTCTTCTTTCACAACCCAATTGAGAGTTCTAGTTAATTGTTAATAAAAAGCTAATAACATCACTGCCCCCATTCTTCTCTTCTGAAAGCTGTTTTAGGAGATTAATTTCTGAAAGATGTGAGTGTTTTCACTGCTACTTTGTTGTGTTCATTTATAAAAAAACTTTATGATCAGAAGCTAGCAGAGTGAATAGGGTTTCTGGGTAATCTGTCCATGAGAGCTTTCATTTGCACAGCTGTTCACACTGCAGATGAAGTTCTTGTGGTGTATCGTTCCTAAACAGCCATTGTTTGAGCTCAGTCAGCTACATTTTTTCTATGACTTAATCATCAGTTGGTGAATGCCTCCTAATGCTCCTGTATGTGAAGGTATATTTAAATACAGGTAAGAGGAGTAGGACTGTCCCATCTCTGTGGGCTTGGGTGAGGTTGTTTCTAATTCTCTGTGTGGTACGAGGAGTGATGACAACCACCCAAAGGGCTTTTCCAAACAGCAGGTTTTTACTTGAAATTTGACACTGGCACAACAAATAGTGGCTAGGCAAAAATTCAAACAACAACCAAAATTTGCAAATATGTTTAAAACAGTGGCTGAGGCAAAATTTACAGCATATACCGACAAACCATAAATACACCAACAAACTGCACAACATGTAACATATGCCAACAAACCTTAAATCTTGTAACATGTAGCAATGAGCCATATATGTGGAAAATGAAAAGTGGGAGGGAAGAAGAGGAAGAGAAAAGGAGAGTGAGAGAGGGAGGAAATAAGGGGGTAGGAGGAGGAGAGAGAGGGATTCCACCAATCCTAGTTCCAGCACTGGTCCAGCCAGCCTGGAGGTCCAGTTCCAGAGGGGTGCCATGCAGGGCTTCTGTTTGTGCCCTTTTCTAATTCCTTGCCCCTCCTGTGGGCAGGTACTTGGATTAATTAGGCTAATTGGGTGTCACGCACAGCTCATGCTTCTAGAACCCTCCATGCTCCGGTGCATGCACAGTTTGTACCCTCAGAGCTCTCTGGAAATGGGTCATTGGGGAACTACTCCCCCATCTCCACAGAGGTGACTGCAGTTGGACCTTTCCTCTCAGCACACACATTGTGATAAGGGCCTCTCCATTGTCTCTTCACGAGTTGCTCCAGCCAGGGCAGTCCAGCCTCAGAAAGATGTGGTCCCATCTAGATTCCCATCAAACATTTGAGGCAGTAACTGTGATTTTGGTTGAACTGTCACAGGGACTCATCAAATACAAGATGAGTTTGTGTGGACTTTGTTATTTTTGATTTGTGGGGGTTTTTTGTTTTGTTTTTTTGTTTCTTGGACAGACTTGTAATTTGTAAGTGCTGTGCTATTGACTGATGTCTGATGCCATCTAATGCCAGAGGCCAAATTAGTCCTCCAGATAATAATTAACTTTTGATAAGAGCTTACTGAAGGACCTTTTCTCCATCTAAAAGATAACTTTTAATTTTCTTGACATGCTTCTGAGTGTGTGTGTGTGTGTGTGTGTGTGTTTGGTACTTACTATTATAGGGAATTTGTATAAAATCAGTGACTGGCTGCTGGAGGGGTTACATCCTTTTACCTTAAATAATTGATACTATGACAAGTCTCTCATTTCACGTTGAGGTGCCATGTGATGGTGTTCTTACAAAACACATGAATGTTGCTTGTAAAATTGCAACTGATGAAAAAGCCATGGCTTTGCATCCTGAGGGTCATTATGAATGCAAATTTTTCCCGTACTGAGAAATATTAATAGGAAGAGTGTGGAATGCCTTAGCATACTGAAATGTTAATGACAGTAAGATGTTTCTCCCATGGGTGGTGTGTTAATTTATTCTACTTAAACAAAAAGTACTCTTAAGTTCTTTTTGATCCATTCATTTTCCTCAGCTTCTACTGCCTGAATGAAATTAGATAATAACAGTGGTGAGATAGTATCTAAATGGGTGCCTTTTATTTAGTAGCAGATGATGAATGCTTCTTTCTGTGAAGGGAATGCACTAGCTTCTGTCTTATTTAAATATTAATCCAAGAGAATGGCTCTTTGTATATGCCTACTGTTCTTTTGAGACTTGTATGCAGGCCTAACTAGTCACTGTATTATGACTCTTTTCCTCTATAAGGGAGGTTTACAGGTTTAAGAGTTTAATAATTTCCCTCTGAAACATACAGAATGACTTTTTTCTTTATTCTCTAGTGCAGTGAACAAGACAATGAATTAAGAAAGTGGTATCCTAAACCTGCGGTGCTGGATGTGAATACGTAGTATTCTGAAAATTTTGATGTATTGGTTTAAGATAGTGGAAATAAGAGGGCTATCTTGTATATGAAAAAATACTTTTGTTAGATAAAAAGAAGTAGGGAGTAATTTAGAAATGGTGGACATGTAAGGGTAAGAAATTTCTAAATTGCTGATTATGAGAAGACCTTTTCTGTGAACTAGATAGGACATCTGTGAATGCATTAAGTGATGATGTCCAGCTGGCCTGAAACAGTATTTTGGTTTATAAGTGGTCTGCATGCTCCTGTTTTTCTACCTTTGAAATATAATGTAAAGCCACGTAGGAAAAAAGGCCAAGTCTTATATTATCCTTTTAGTACAGTCCTGGCACATTCTGTCTATGTAATATTGCTGATGTAGAATTTGATGAATTGGCTTCAACGTGTAACATAAAATAGCAAAAAATTGTTATTATATTGTGCTTCTGTTTACAATGCTGCTGATAAGTTGGAGGAACCAAAAGACCGAGTTTCTGTGCTTTGGTTGCATCCAGCATCCTGAAATGTTACTAAGGATTATATTTAGCTCTCCTTCCCCCCATTTCTTCCTTTTCGTTTTGTAAGGGTTTTGTATCAAAATCATGTTACTTCTATCAATCTATACTGTGGTCTAGAGATTAAAGGAATGTTAGGTGAATCAGCTGCTTCAAGCCAAACAATCTCATAGCTGGCATGGAAATACGCTTTTGTGTTTCATGGAATGAGTTTAGATCAAAGGGCATCAGATGCTCATGGCTAATTTACTATTTAGTGCTTCTTGAAATGTCCAGTTCCTAGCATATCTGGTAATAAGTTTGTTTTGTTTTGTTTTCTTAAAAACAAACAAACAAACAAACCAACCAACCAACCAAAAAAAAAAAACACAAAAAAAGGCAGGTGTTTCCTCCCAACTGAACAGGTGGGATTTTTTTGACTGCTTTTTACACTGTGACTGATTTTGATTAGTCCTTTAGAGCCAGTTACTACAGATGAAGATTAATATTCAGTAGAAAATTTTAAACCTCATCTCTCAGACGTAGTAGGAACCAAGAATCAGAAAAGCTGAATTAGACAACATATTTGTGAAATGAGCAACTATTGGCATTCACAGCTAAATATCATGCTTGCGTTCATAAGTAAGCTGCCTTAAAATTCAGATTATGAGAGGATGCAGAGGCCATGGTGTATGCTGTAGTGTATTCCAACTCTCTGACATAAAGTGTTTCCAAGAAAACTAAATCGGTAGTTTTGTTTCCTGCTTAGAGGTTAGAACCAGTACCGAAAGTGTTATTAGGCCCTAACACCAAATTAAACCCTGGGGAGGTGAATAAGAGAAAAAAAAAAAAAAACAATGAACTTGAACAGCAGGAAATTACTTTGTGGAAGGTGAGCAAGCAGGATGGCTTGTTGTTGGATATAAAGGGGCAGTTGATCAGAGTATTAAAAGGCAAGGTTAAATGCTTACCAGGCAAATTTTGATGGGTCAGTTCCACTGATAGAAGAACACCTTCAGGGAGACTGCAAAACACTGAGATTTCATTTCACTGTTGGTTTTAATGGCTGTTTACAGGCTTTTAGAGACTAGACAATTATTTGCCTGTTATGTCAGCATTACTTCCTTAGAAGGTGTAGAAAGCTTCTGCAGCTGCATAATTTCTCAATTCTTGTGAATTTGTCAGCTATGTACTCTCCAGGTCTGTCAGGATCTGTATCTGGACAGGAAGTTGATGCCCTTTTCAGAGTACATAGTAATGGGGTTTGTGTTTAGCCCAGGTCATCATTGGTAGACAGAAACTGTATTATTGAACAGACATCCTATTACTTCTGCCCCTAATGCTAAGACGTCAGTTTCCTGGGGTTTTGAGAGAATAATGGAACAGTACAACTGGTGCAAACAAACTCTTAACTGTTTTTCTTCATAGTTTGGGTGAAGGTATTTTTGTTCGTGGTGTTGGTTTTTTTTTGTTTGTTTTTTTTTTTGTTTGTTTTTTTTTTTTTGTTTGTTTGTTTTGTTTTTTGTTTTGTTTTTTTCTTGGTTTTTTTTGTTTGTTTTTTCTTTTTTTTTTTGTCTTTATAATGGTGAGCTGCTGAAAGTCTAGCACAGGTATCTGACAAAATGTGCAACATGGACAACTCCAGTATATAGCAAGTCTTAAATAGTCTGTGTCTCTTTGTAGTAACCTCATTTCCTGTTCTATATGGAAGAATTATAGAAATATAGAAAATAAAGAAAAATACTTTTATATATCCTGTGTTCTCCTACATACACTATGTTCTGTTAATATGCTGTCCTAGTACTCTGTGTATTTCCTGTCCCCTAGCTATCAGCAGGGCAAAAAATGGCAGTTGGTGTGATTGTATGGCCTGTTCAAATTTAAATGCTTATGGGTAGGCTGGTTGCCCACAGAACAAAGCTGCTGCTGTAGTATTGTAACGCTTCCCTTAATAGGAATAATACTGAGGGTTTCTTCACTAGGCATCTTCTAGACCGATACTGATTTCCTTGAGACATGAAAATAGTTGATGTCTTCTAGACCCTTTGCATCTCTTGCATACTGCAAGAATTACTACTTCTTGAGGAACACTTAACGATTTCTTAGGAGCTTAAAAGATGATTCTTTTTCATATTCATGTGGTCTGATGAATTTTTCATGAACTATTGTGTGTCAGTGCATCTGAAACTAAATGTAGTATGGCTCATATCTTATTTTTTGTTCTACTCTCTTCTATTGTTAGGTAGTCCTTTAAACAAGTCAACTTCCTTGCTATTTTTACAACAATAGGTAGCTATAGGAGTAAAACTTGAACTGCTTTTCAGATGACTAAAAAGAAAGGGGAAGAACAAGTTATCTGTGACTTACTGTAAGTCTTCAGCTGAACTTCTGTGATATGTAAGTCCCAATCTGAAAACTTGTTTAGGTAAGCCTAACAAGGGCAAAATTACTCAATTTGGATAGTTCTTGAAATACCTTCTTTTTGTTTGGCTTGATAAGTTTTGCCATATGAAACTTACTAACACGAAAAATGAAATATCTTTGTTATGGGACTTTACTTAAAAAATAGATTCCTGTTTTTAATGTGTTAAAAGTGCAAAGGTGATGTGCTTCACACATGGTTTTGGTCTTTCCTGTGATTGGTGTTTCAGATAAAATTATTTTTATGGCATGGCCTATCTGTTTAAAAGGATCTACTGTGTGTACCGTACAAGCATTTTTTCCAGTTCCTTTTTTTTTTTTCCCCTGATTCTATGTTAGTGTCTCTGTTAAATTATAACTCTGATATTCTTTTTCTTGCTCTGAGCAATTTAAATGTAATCATTGTGTGTTTTCATGCAGCTCACCAAGTCTCATCGGCAAGGTCACATGGTGAAAGTGGACTGGCTGGACAGACTGACCTTTAGAGAAATAGAAATGATCAATGAGGTGGGTCATTTCACATCAGATCTGTAATTTTTTTACTTTTTGGATCTTGTTAATATGGAACCTTAGGAGTTTAACTCTGAGCACTATTTTTCTTCAACCATCAATGTATATGATAAAAGGAAAAATAATTCTTTAAGCTTCCAAAGTTGATTTTGCTTTGGCAATAATGAGAATTGTACAGTAGTTTGGGTTGAAAGGGACCTTTAAAGATCATAGAGTTCTATCTACCCTGCCATGGGCAGGGACATCTTCCACTATACCAGGGTGCTCCCAGCCCCATCCAACCTGGCCTTGAACCCTTCCAGGGAGGGGGCAGCCACAGCTGCTCTGGGCACCCTGGGCCAGCGCATCACCATCCGCACACGGAAGAATTTCTTCCTTGGATGTAATTTAAATCTACCCTCTTTCAGTTTAAAGCCATCGCCCCTCGACCTACCCCCATGCCCTGATCCAGAGTCCCTCCCCACCTTCCCTGCCCCCCTTTAAGCCCTGGGAGGCCACTCGAAGGGCTCCCTGGAGCCTTCTCTTCTCCAGGCTGAACCCCCCCAACTCTTTCAGCCTGGCCTCCCAGGAGAGCTGCTCCAGCCCCCTGATCAACTTCACAGCCTCCTTTGGACCCGCTCATCAGGTCCATGTCCTTTTTATGCTGGGGGCTCCAGAGCTGGACCCAGCACTGCAGGTGGGGTCTCACTAGAGTGGAGCAGTGGGGGGGAATCCCCTCCCTCGACCTGCTGCCCACCCTGCTCTGGCTGCAGCCCAGGGCACGGTTGGCTTTCTGGACTGCGAGCACACATTACCCTGTCATGTCCAGCTTTTTTCATTCACCAGAATAGATATCTGACTTAGAAAGTTTTTAGCTTCAAGTGAACTTGATCACGAAAGACAGAATTTAGTAATAATTTGGAATAGCTTAGAACAAATGCTATTACACGTGACTAATTTAACTCTAGGATTTAGATTGTGATGGGATGCTTTTTGGACATACAAGCAGTTCCTTGCTTTTAGACCTGTTCTCTTTATTGGTTAGGGGTTCTGAAGAAAAATAGTTGTAAGATTTGAATGAGTATTTTAAAAAGAATAATCTGGTATTTAAATACCTGAATGAGGTGAGCATTGAACAAAATCACCCCCAAATTGTTAACTGATTATATTCATCTTGCAGAATAGAACTCTGTTGTTTTGTTTTTTACTCTGAGATTTTTGTTGCCATAGTTATAATTAGACCTCTGGGAATCAGATTCTTCTTGAACTTCAATTTGAACTTTTATAAACCCTATGAGTTCGATTTTTTTTTTTTTTTTTTTTTTTTTTTCCCCCCCTCTTCTCCTTCTGTAAAAGTACGGAAAACTAAAAAATCCTGATTTGTAGGGCTGTACTTTAAATGCAGAACCACTTTGCTTGTGCTGGAAAGTCAATCCACTATTAATGCATGAAAAGAACTTGTGTTGCTTGTAATTAAAGGGAATGCCTATTTTTTGTATCAAATACATGTTCCTGGTGGTCATTATGTACCACTTCCTTCTTGTTTCCCACCTAGATTTTAAAATTCTAAACACTTTTTGTAGGTAAAATATTTAAACTCATGCACGAGCAAATCTACCTCTGAAAGTGAATGAGCTGCAAATTAATCTTGTAGTCCAAGTTTAATTTGTCTCTTTCATGGTGTGTGTAATGATTTAAAAAAAAAACAAAACAAACAAAAAAAAAAAAACAAACAAACAAAAAAAACCAACCTCAAACACAAAAAACGTTGTCATATGGTTATTCTTCATTTCATTTTTTTCAGACTTTTAGTCCACAGTCACAAGCTGCTTATGAAAACAATGTGATTTATCTGTTACATGTGGATGTTTATCATGAAGTGGGATGTGAGGAAGTAAGAATGTCAGGAAGAAGTTGATACAGTCTGAAGTAGTGCTATAAAATGATTAACTGAATAATTACTACAACAAATGATAATCTAATTAATCAGTTATAGCACAAAGGAAGTAGAGTAATTGCTCTACTGAGAATGCTGAAGATTGATGCACTTTAATACATGATACACATCTGTGGCGGTTCTCTTCTCAGAGGGAAAAACGAAGTTCTAATTTTATGTACCTGATGATTGAATTCCGTTGCGTCAAGTGTGATGATAAAGAGTATGGAATAGTTTACTACGAAAAGGTATGTGCCTTGCAGACTTTATGGTCTTCTTTAAAAAGCAACATATGCACCTAAAATGGATGGGTTTTTCTGCTGAGGTGAAATATTCTGCTGCAGGGTAGCAGCAGACAGCTGTCAGTGGCAACTGTTTATGTACATACAAATCAAATAGTATAGATGCAACAAGATTGCAGAAGTCAATCATTCGTGTAATACAGTTCAAGATTACAGAATTTAATAAGTGTGAGTGATTAAAAATTTCTTGATTTATGGTTCCTTCAGTCATCCAACAGTACTTTCAGCATAGCAGTATGTAAAATTATGTCTTAGGAAGAAATGTACCTCTATTGATTGGTAACTTTGTGAAAGATAAGCTATTAAAACTTCCCACAGGAGCTCTGCTGGTGAATATTTTTTTCTAAAATGAACTAATATAAAAGTTTAGTCTTTCATGCTGAAAATGCTTTGTAAGTTAATTAAGTTAAAAGACTTCTGAACTGGAATGTCTTGCATCTTTCCTTCCTGCTTACAAAACAGATCTCCAAAGCAATACCCTCAATGTTTTTTATGAGTTTGAATTTAATGGAACAAAAAATTAAGAATGCGTTTAGCAGATGGCATTGGAAGGCATTATCTGTGCTTATACAGACCCATGTATTGTGGAAAGACCCACTGAAATAGGAAAAGCAGTATATCTATAATCCGGTTTAAAACAAAAAAATGTCAGTAATTGCCTTTTAAAATTTTCATCATGTTTAGATTCAGAAGAAGTCAGGAAGTTACTGAATAATGCAGCTTTATGAGAAGGAGAAAGAAGGTAGAAAAAGAGGCTGGAGTCCTGCTGAGATCAAAGGCACTAACTTTAAGCAGCATCTATTCTGAGAATTTAAAAAAAAAATCTCTAATTCAGCACACAATACGTTAATACAGTGGAAAATGAGAATAGAGAGTATTTCCATGTATGTCACAACATTACTAATTGATTTGGACAGAGAAACTGTGATTTAAGATTCTTGAAAGTAGTGAAAAATGTAATAGTAAATTGCAAAAAGCAGAATTCCAGAAAAGTAATTCTGAGAAGGCACAGGACAGAGTCTGCCTCAGCTGTATGATCTGTTGTTAGTTGAAGCTTGTGGATGTTTGAAAAAAGATCTGTTTAAATGCTAGTAATGTAGGCATTTGAATTTGTAGGTGTTATTGAATACCTGAAACTTAACAGCAGTGATTTTAGAAGTTATTTTAACAGAGATGCTGCTATAAAATAATCTGTTACAGTTGATTTTTCAAATTGCTGTGGTCAGAACAAAAATGAGTGGCTGTTTAAGAAATTTTCAAAGCCCTTGTAAGAGCTGTCTTGCAGACATGGTATAAAAATAATGTATGTGGATGTCCATGCTCTATACACATATCCTCTGTGGTGCTAGCTGCCTTTGTAATGCTTCTGGAAGGAAAGAGCAGCTCCACTTGGTGCTTAGTGTCTCTTCCCACAGTCTGAGGCAAATATGTGGGGTGTGTTTTGGGCAATGTGTGGGATGTTTCCTGATTTATCTTTTTGTGTGTGTTGTATTTTTACTTGTTTGTTTGGTTTGGTTTTTTGTTTGTTTTGGTGGGTTGTTCATTTGTGGCTTGGTTGGGGTGGGGGGTGGTGTTTGGGTATGAGGGTTTTTTTTTGTGTTTTTTTTTTTTTTTTTCAGTTTCTTGGTGAATTTTGGTAGTTTTTGGTGAAATTGCATTAGGCAGATGCCTAAGTTAGCTCTTTAGCATTTCTTTTTGTGGACTGTAGTTGACAATGGGACCTCTCCACACCTTTCCATGTCTTTTAACCTTTAGAGTAGCTTGCTTCAAAGTGCTTCTATACACTTCTAGAACCAGCTATTATAGAGAACCTTACTATTACAAAAATCCCTTCTGTTATTAATCAGAATGAAACCTATAATATGTCATATTCCTTCATGAAGCAAAATAAAATTATTTACTTCTGTGGAAGTCAAAGGAATATTTTTCTGGAGAGCATAAATGGAATTTTGGTCAAAATATTGAAACATTTGATTAACCATAGCTTTTCACATTAGAATGTGCTGTAATTTTCACAAATGCAAACTGATGAGCATGGCTACTGTGCAGCTTTGTGTCCTCTTGGCTCTTTTATAGTTAAATGCGACATTCCTAGAAATGATTTCTCTCCCTCACCTCCAGAAACCTACCATTATAGATAAAGTATTCCTGATTTACACACACTTTTTTTTTCGGTCATCAGGATGGTTTTACAGATGTGCAAGGTGAGGAAAGGAAGATTCAGACTTCAAGCAAGCATCAGTTTCCGTTAATGAATGTTTCTGAAGCATGTAAAAGTGTATGGAACAAAATAACTATGAATTGGCAGCTCTTGTGGAAATAAAGTAACTGAATGGGTAATAGTACATATTAAAGCTATAACTAACTGCAGTTTGAGGGATTTGTTGTTATGAAGTAGCTTTTCAACACGTTGTTGACCCTTTCCTGGCAGCAGTAGGAAACAGTACATAAATTAGTGCCTGTCTTCTCAGTTTTGTCATGCTTCCAATTACAGTGTACAGTATACATATCTGGCATCACCAATCCCAGTATATTGAGTCTAATGAAAGTAGGTTCTGTTGTCACCTGCCTGTGACCGATAGTCGAAGTGGAGATTACTTGTCACAGTTTTGTTGATAAATTTGTTTTCAAGTGTTTACAAAGAACTAGCCTGTTAAACAGTGGCTGATAGAATTTGAGATTCTTTGACTCAACATTCAATTACAATGAAGTGAAGTGGCAGTGGCTCTTTCCATATTCTCTGTTAACTTAATTTTAATAGCGCATTCAAAATGTGAAGGATAGCAGTCTGCTAGTAATGAGAGCATTGCTTCTGATTCTCTATTTAGGCAAAAGTTCAGTGTGACTTTCAAGTGCAAATAACACTAGCTTTTATCATTAATGTGTTTTTGTGGAGGTTTCTAGTGAAACTTTTGTATGAATAAATAAATTGGCTTCACTGCTGCATCCAGTTTATTTAAATAAATAAAAAAAAAGTAGTTCAATTATCAGTGCCTTTTTCCTGACTTGAAAGAAAGAAAAAGTAGTGTCTGCAGCATTGGGTGTCTTTACTTTTTGAGTGGGAGAAACTGGATTCCACTGCTGTTACTTGAAATTATTTTTTGATTAAAGAATAAGATAAATAAAATCTCCTTATTTATTGGTGGTGTGAAACAGATTTTCAGGAAAGTCCAGAACCACCTTGCTGGTTCAGAAAATTTGCAAATTTTGTTTGCTTTCTTAAATGGACTCCAATATTTATATGAAGTCATACACTGACCTTAACGTAGTGAAGTACATCTACAGCTCTGTAATACAGTAGTTTAAAGCAAGTTACTGCTGTTTCATATTGCTGCTGCTTTTGTTTCCCAGTGGCAGAATAGCAGGTCATCTCGGTTTCTGGCTGTGCTAACAAGAGGAGGATGTTTCCAGGGTGAAAAGGTTACTGAAGGCCCAGTGTCTGCACTGTGTTCCTACACTTGGGACTAGGTTTTATCAAGTTCAGTGGACCCAATGACTGTTGACAGCTGAAGGCCATTGGGCATTTCTAAAACTTTGGTGATGTGAACTAAAGCTCACTACATCAGGATGATAGGGAGAGACACTTCAAGAGCACGCTGTCGTGGTTTGGGCCTGGTTGGCAGCCAGCCACCAAGCAGCGGCTCTCTCTCCCTTCCCCTCCGGCAATGAGAAGGGACAGAGAGCCAGGCTTGGGGTTCAAGATAGGACTGGGATGGGGAAAAATCCCCCTTTATGATCACAAGCAAAAGGCAGACTCATTAGGGGAAGAAAAAAAAAAAGAACATACATTTATTACAGACACTAACAACACATAACAGAGTAGGACAGTGAGAAGCATTTTCACATCTTGAGAACACCTTCCCCCCACCCCTCCCTTCTTCCCCAGCTCAGCTCTGCTCCCGATATCTCTACCTCCTCCCCCAGTGGCGCAGGGGCAGGGAATGGGGGGTGCAGTCAGTACTTCTGCTTCTTCCATCTTTGGTGGGGGGAGCTTCTGGAACTTGTTCCTCCTGTTCCATCGTGGTCCCCCTCTCACAGGAGGCATTCCTCCACAAACTTTCTTCAACATGAATTCCTCCCATGGGCTGCAGCGTTCCCCACACTGCTCCATTGTGGGTCACTAACTTCCTCCGACTGGATTCCCTCGCATGGCTGCAGCCCTTCCCGAGCTGCTCCGGCGTGGGACTCCCCCGCATGCTGCAATCCTCCCAGTGATGAATTACAGCAGCGGGGCTACCTTTTCCCATGAGACCCCGGCCTGCTTCGGGCACAGAACCTTGATCAAGCATGCAGAAGCCACAGGGCATAAATCAGTATCTGCTCCATCATAGATCTTCATGGGTGGCAGGGGGGGGCCGCCCTGCTGTCTCACCACAGGATACAGGGGGGTCTCTGCTCCGGCACACCTCCCCCCTCCTTTCTTCCTCTGTTCCTCCACTGACCTTGCTGTTCATGCAGCTGCAGCAACTCCTCCTCACAAGTCCCACTGCCCGTCACCACGTCCCTTCTTAAATACGTTGTCGCAGAGGCGCAGCCGATTGGCTCAGTTTCCCAAACAGAAGTGGAGCTGACGTGGAGCTGGGGGAGCTTCGAGAAGCTTCTCACAGGGGGCTGCCCCGATAGCCCCCTCCCCTGCCACCAAAAAACTCCACCACTCACTCAACCCAGGACACACATATTTGGCAAAATTCAAATACTAATTTATTGTTGACCCTCAGGCATTGGTATGTCTGCATTCAGTAAGTGTATGGTCAGGGTCACAGTGATGCACATGATGCTGTCCAGGTATGACAGAGAATTAGAGCTGCACGTTAATCTAATCGTAAGGCGAGTGAAACAACTGACATCCTTCACAGACAAAGTAACGGCCTTATACCTTCTTGAAGATTTCATGAAACAGTCTGTTCTGAAAATGTTAACTTCTGACACAGTAGTAACTTGTCCCGTGAATGCTTGGCAAAACTTGGTTTCGTAGAAAGTTTTGGTTGAAGCTAAAGTCTTTGTTCTAAAATGTGATGAAATGCTGGGAACAGAGTTTTTCTGAGCTGAGTAACTAAAGCTTTTCAGCTTGGCTCTTCAGTATAATCTAACTGTATCTGAGGAGTTTAAAGAACAGTCATTATAATATTTCTTTTGAAAGGTTAAAAAGATGCCAGCAGTAAGTTTAGAAATAATTCTTTTAACACTAGTCTTGGAAAAAATCCCCAATCTTTGTTTTAGAAGGTATACAAACATTTTGGCGTGAGGCACTGGAAGGCTTTGTGCATTTTTTAGTTTGGTAAGTAAGCAAAATTTAGGCAATTGTGCTTCTGTTATTCTCTTGCTAGTAAGTTCTGAGCTGGTAATAGCTGTTGCAGGCTTTTGTTTGTGGGGTAGGTACTTTGTTTTTACCAGCCTAGAAGCTTTGTCAGCTATTTTATCTGAATGTTTTCACTGAGAGAAAGATGTAGTACCATGGGCGTTACTACTACTTATTCCTAGAGAATCCCCATGGGATATGGATCTTATAAGTGCTTCAGCAGGATTTGGAACATCTGTTGGCAAATCTAATCCTCTGTCAAGTTTTTCTTACAGTGCTTTTATGTGAAGGGTCTAAATGGAGTAGAAACTTTTTTGTCTCTGGGGCATTGGATATCTTTTATTGTTTTATAAAGGTCAAGTTAGACTGCAGTCTTATTATGGTTTTGATTAGGAAGATAGCCAGTTAGTAGAAATTGGTCTGTCATCTCTTGTCATCAGATGTGTTTATTTTCAGAAGGATTTCCCCCTAAAACAATTTAATTGTTTTTTGTGCGATTTGACTTTGTGAAACTAATATAATGTGATCTGAAAGTTCTGTCTGAGATGGGAAAAGTTTTATTTAGTACAGTGTGAGTGCTGATCTGTTGGTGTGGCTCCAATTTAGTTCAGTCTGCTGTTACAGTGATGCAGTAGTATTTTGTTACAATAGAAAAACTTTGGAAATGCTAATAATTCTATACAATTAGGTTAAAACTATGTTCATTAGGCACATGTCCTCTTTGTCCTCTTCAGTGTTTGCATGCGTACTTTTTTTAAAGACTAATTGGAAAATCAATCCTGCTTATGTTTTGGGACCATCATCAGCCACAGATTGTATGTATATTTGCCTTAACTAGAAAGGATGTGTATATAGGTACTGTCCTTATTTCGACTGTAAAATTTTTACTTCAGAAAGGCATAGGACACTAAAAAATGTAATAGAAGTGCCTTTCTGCATCTGCCTTTTAATAATAAAAGATCATTAAGGTTGTCAGGAACACAAAATTTAGCTAGCTGGAAAAAAATGTTTCTCCTGAAAGGTTAATGGTTTAACTCCTGTGTCTTGTTGGTGACTGTATGAGCTGACACAGGCAGGATGGAGGAACAATTACAAAATCGTGGATAAAATGCTGAGACTAAATTTATTCTCATTGCCTCGCAACCTGGGGGATGTCTGCAGCAGCACCCCAGCAGAGGCGTGCAAGGGGGGACATAGGCACCACGGAGCTTGGTCCTTGCTAGCCAGAAAGAGGTGAAGAAAAAGATCTTGAACCTGTTGCTTTCACCTGGATATATCAGGGATTTTTGCAGGTGTAGTTTTCCAATGTACTTAGATGTTTCTCACAGCAGAGTAGGAATCTCAAGGATGTTTGATGAGGTGACTCTGAGTCTATCACAGTCCTGTGTTATCTAAATGCAGACGTTTGTTATCTAAATGCGGATGTTCTACCTGTCAAGCACACAAAGCTAAGCAACAATTAGTATGATATATGTTTTTTGGCACTCCAGCTGCAAGTCGCTTCAGTGTGTTTGCAATCCTTCTCGACAATCTTCTGTTGTATTCCCACAGTGATGGATCATTCTTTTCTTCCCCTTGATACAACCCTCTCACTTCTTTGAAAGTTACCTCTGAAAAGTATAAAAGCAAAGGCATCCCAAGAGGTATATGTGATTGGAAAACAAGGAGGAAGAAAAAAAAGGAGGGTGGGGGGCAGAAGCAAACCTGAGCAAGTTATCTCAAAACTTACATTACTGAGGGAAATGTTTATATGTCAAAAAACCTTTTATTCTGAACTGAAATTTACTCCAGAATAAATGGGAACACACTGGTATAAATATAGAATAGCATGTATTTTGCTGGTGTTGTCTTGTTGATTTTTCTGTTTTACTATTTTATACTGTCTTTTAAATGAAACCTTATTCTGTAGACCATGCCACTTAATGCTTAATTACACTTCTAAGGTTAAAAAAAAAAAAAAAAAAAAAAAAAAAAAGGCAAAACAAAACCAATAGCCAAAACCAAACTGCTAGGTATGACTGGAGGGCGGAAAGAATTTCTGTCACGTGGTGGCAGGCTTTGTGTTCTTTCCTTTTGCCGAGTTCAAACGGGAAGCTTTCAGCTTCTCCCTTGCCTTATTTGTGCAGCAGCAGGTTAGACTTCTCTAAGGAGAACTAGAGGTCTCTTGTCATACTGCTCCAGATTAGCACAGCATGAACTTTTAGAAGAGACTGCCATTCTCCATGAGGAACCCATGATAGGTAGGCACATGTATATATTAATAAATTAATTTGTGTTGAATTGTTAGGTATTTTTCTGTAACGTGGTTGTTATTTCCAGGGAATTATTTGTTTTCGATGGAAATATGGACTACTTTGGTTTCTCTGTGCTTCCAGAGAACACATGTAGCAATAATGGCAGATCTGTCCACTCACCTGTGTGCCAGCATGGTAGTGAGTTGCCAAGCTGTATCTCTCTCCTCAGATGAACTTCCATCTGTCTTGCCTCCTTTTTTGTCATCTGGCAAAAACTAACAAGAAAAAGGAATACATTTCTTATCTTCTGTTTTCCCCTTTATAACTATCAAAAGTCAGTAAGGTATAGTTGCATCATTCTTTCACTGTAGTATAATTCACAATACATTAATATGGTATATTGTTTTTTTCTTAAAACTTGAGATGTTTAATATGCCTTTAACTTTTTGTCATTCAGGATGGTGATGAATCATCTCCAATTTTAACAAGTTCTGAAATTGTTAAGATTCCAGATCCCCAGATGTCTATGGTAAGCATGCTCCATGTAATGCAGTCTGTATTATAGTATCTTTGTTGACGTTCTCATAAATGGAGATGAAAGCTTGCCTATATTGCTGTCTTCAATATTATAAAATTCCAGTGGAAAGATGTATCTGACCAGTTGAGAAATATCGGTGGGTTTGACTACTTTTTGTTTGTTTGTTTGTTTGGTGCTGCTGTTAGATTACAATACAAGAATTGATGTAATGCTTATGTTCACCTCCTTTCCGTACCTAATGTGCTTGCTTCTGAGATGTAGGAAAGCAGAGAAGGGGTATTGTTGGCAAAAATGGTCAGAGGGTGGGAACATAAGCTAAGAAGAGAAATGTAGAGGATGGTACAGTAACTCTTGGTCATTTTGTTAAAATATTTTCTCCCTACACTCTCTTGTATGTTGTCTTTCATGTAGACAGTGCCTAAGTACAGTTCTAGAAAAGATTTCCATTATTGTGGATGCCAATTCAGTGGGACTGGTATTGGCAGCTTTGGGAACCTTAATGTAAGTGGGCTTCTACTGGCAACACTGTTTGAGCACTGTGTAATCTAACACTGCAAGAGCAAGTCTGACTGCTGAAAACTGCCTTGGCTGCTGAAATCTCATTGACACTGTGGCTCCTATTGTGGCTCCTACTGTTGCTAACATGGTATTAACAGTGGGAAAACTTTTTGAGATGTTTTTCTTGCATACAAAGCTTTATATTGCAAACATCATCCTAAAAAATGTTCATGAAGTGGCTAGCACGTTTGAGTGCTGTCTAAATCACAGATGTGTTAACTGAAACGCTTACATTTTTCAGCAATTCATCAAAAGGCAAGATAGGGTTTCTAAATTGTGTGAAGTAAAAAACCAAAACCAAAACTCAAAACCCCCAACAACCCTCCACATATTATTGAATGAGTTTCTTCTCAAACAACAACAAAAAAAATTGAGAAGACACTGTAGTTTTAGATGTATATTTTAATTGCCATGCATTATTCAAGATACTGGTGAGTCTTTACTAGATGGTTTCATTTCAATAGCAATCTTCTCTGGAGTTTAAGTATTTATAAATACTGACTTACCCTCTGCGTTTAGGAGAACTTAGTAGAAAGCAAACATCACAAGCTTGCTCGAAGTTTAAGAAGTGGACCTTCTGATCATGATCTGAAGCCTAATGCAGCTACACGAGATCAGCTTAATGTAAGTCAGTCATATGATGGTTAAATTCAGTTTTATTAGCTAGGTTGGTATTAATATGTGGTGACAATTTAAAGAAAATACAGTTCAGTTTATAGGAAGTCATTAATGAGAAATTTTGTTAAGTTTTTCTTGCAAGTGCCTAGTTAGATGGGTCCAACTCAGAAAGGAGCAGAAGGTACTTGATCAGTTTTTTGTAAAACAGTTTTGAGGGATAAGAATGCATACTGTGCACATATCATGTAGGTGTTAATGGTAGTCTTAAAGTAAATGTATGTTTGCTTACACTTCCATTTCCATCAACCACATAACTGAGGAACATAACCATGATAGCATGAGAACTTTGTGTTGTTGGAAAGCTTTTTTTTCTGTAGCTATTTTTGTGTTGTCAGTATTGTGCTTTGTCACAGTGTAATCTCTTAACTTGTTCGTTATGCCTGTTCATGTTTTTAAACTCACTTTCTGACTATGTTTCTAACAGATCATAGTGAGTTACCCACCAACAAAGCAGCTAACATATGAGGAACAGGATCTAGTTTGGAAATTCAGATATTACCTTACTAATCAGGAGAAGGTAAGTTGAAGCTAGTCAAGTTTATTTTAACTTTTTTTACAATGTGTTACTGATTTAAAAAGTAATGACTGTAATTTTCCTTAAATCATATGAACTGGCTGTTAATACAGCAGTTATTTTACAGATACAGTCAGCTTAAAACACCAGAGTTGCCAATTTTGTCTTCAGCAAAGAAAAATTATTAGAGGAGCTTCTTCATGCCTTTTAGACAAGGTTTAGCATTACCAGAATAAATAGCAGCATACCAGAAGCCCAAAATAAAGTAAATAAATAATCCCCTAGCAGTGAGTATTTTTTATGCAGTGGTAATTGTGGTAGAGCAGTAACCATTGACTCTACATTTTGCTTAGAAGGTAACTGAGATGCAGTTTTTTGGGACATACTAAAAAAATCTGATATTGTATTGTCACTTTGTAAGGTTCCCCAGGTCTTTCGTTATGTAAGTACAGTCTGAATCTAGTTCTACCGTAACAAGAAACATTCATTTCTGAAGTCATTTGTTTAGCCTGGCTTTTCACTGATTAATTGTCCAATCTCTCTCTAAATAGGCCTTGACAAAATTCTTAAAATGTGTCAACTGGGATCTACCACAAGAGGCAAAGCAAGCACTGGAGCTACTGGGCAAGTGGAAGCCCATGGATGTGGAGGACTCTCTAGAACTTCTGTCATCTCATTTTAGCAACCCAACAGTTCGGCGCTATGCTGTTGCCAGGCTTCAGCAAGCTGATGATGAGGTATTTATGGGTTTGTGTGTACATGTGAAAGTCAGCTAGTCTCAGGTTTTTTAGTCTCACTGAGTACTTTAAATGTTTCCTAGTTTTTAAGTCATTTAAGTGAGTAATAGTGGTGGCAAACTTAAAAAAAAAGAAAAAGTAATTCACTGTGATGCTATTTACTATAAGCTCTTTATGAAACAAAGTCTTAACATCATTAAGTGGCACTCCTTGATAACTGACAATTGTCTTGGTGTGAACAGCCAGTGATAGCTGGTTTTGTTAAACAAGATGGAACAGCTATATGTTCTCCGCAGGAACCAGTGATAAATTTTGAATGTTAACCTGCATAGAAGTGCTCTGAACTTAAAAAGATTTCCAACAAATCCACCTGGTAAATTGAAGCAGTATACTGTCATACTCTCTTGATAAAGAGAGTAGAAAAGCATCTGTGGAAATAAGGTGTTTCTAATTGTATACTGATTAGAATATGATGAGCTGTGATTTGTGAGTAGAGCCCACTTAATCGATGCTAATCTGTTAAAATTTAATTATTTATGTATTTTATTTTCTTTTGACAGTAAAAAAAAATACTTTGAATATATTACCATAACTCTTGAATCCTTGGCAATCAATAGAGTTTAAAATAGGGAGCATAAATATATGAAATTTTTGCAAGTCTACCTCAATAGCCAAGGTCACACTGCTTTGACTTTAAAAATGTACATTTTACAAAATGTTTGAAGGCAACTAAACAGAGCAAGTTGAATAGTAGAGGTAACAAACTTATTATAAACAGCAAGTGATTAAAATTCTATTCCTCAATCTAAAATAGGCAAGGTATGTGGTTTTTTTGGATCCCTACCTATGTAAGGGAACAACGACAACAAAAAAAAAGAGTACATAGGAGAGAATCTGAATTCTTGGTAACATGATCCAGGTTTTATGCTTGAATTTTTTTCTTGGGAGCCCCAAACTGAAAGGTTTATTTTGTGATTGCTGGAAGCAACTATAGCAGCTTAACTAAAGAGAACTTTAAAGTAGTTATTGCATATAAATATTTACTGATTTAGAACTTACTACTTTCAAGTAGCAAAAAATTAATAGTGTGATGATTCACTATCTTTTGGGAGTCAAACTCTATCCTACACCAGTTTTTCTATTGTATATTGCTTGCTAGGGAGACCCCAATTTCCATTTCTTTATAGGTCACTAAATCATGACTAAGTTTTTCTATAAATTAGAATTTTGAAAGCACATGGAGTCCTAGTCAGCTTTGACTGACACTCTCAATTCACTTTCATTTTTTTTCCTCCATAAGGATTTGCTGATGTACCTGCTACAGTTAGTTCAGGCATTGAAATATGAAAACTTTGATGACATAAAAAACGGACTGGAACCTAGCAAGAGGGACAGCCAAGGTTCAATGTCAGAAAGCATGACAACATCTGGAACTAACGGTGCAGAAATAGACAGGTAAGAAGCTTATATTTCTGGTAGAAAAGCAGAAACACGTGTCATGGTTTGAGCCTAGAGAGCAGCTGAGCCCCAAGCAGCTGTTCGCTCACCCCTTCCCCTTCAGGAATGGGAAGGAGAAAAGGAAGTAAAAGGCTCAGGAATTGAGATAAAGACAGGGAGGGGTGACTCACCTATTAGAGTCACGGGCAAATGACAGACTCAGCAGACAGGTAGGGGAAGAAAAAGAACATCACTTTAGTTGAAACACTAACAAAAAACAACACTTAACAGACAATGTGGGACAGTGAGAAGCACCAACCACATCCAAACCCACCTCCCCCCACCCCTCCCTTCTCCCGGGCTCAGCTCTGCTCCCCATCTCCCTCCTTCCTCCCCCAGCGGCACAGGGGCAGGGGATGGGGGTCACAGTCAGCTCCTGCTCCTTCCTTCTCGGGAGCTGGGGGGAACACCGCACATCCCTCCCCTGCTCCACGGGGCTCCTCTCTCACTGCAGACAGTCCTCCACGAACCTTCTCTGTTGTGAGTCCTCCCCATGGGCTGCAGCCGTTCCCGAGCTGCTCTGGCGTGGGTCCCCCCGCGTGTTGCAGTCCTGCCAGTGCTAAACTACAACAGTGGGGGCTGCTTCTCCCCTCAGGGTCCTGGCCTCCTTTAAGCGGTCTCTGGTTGGTCTCTACTCCAGCACAGACCTCCATGTGTGGCAGAGGGGGTGATGCTGCCATCTCATCACAGGACACAGGGGTCTGTGCTCTGACGCACCTCCCCACCTTCCTTCTTCCTTCCACTGACCTGGATGTTAGCATATGTGTTCTTTTCATAACTCCTCCTCACAAGACCCAACCCCTTCTCAGGTTCCCCTTCTCAAATATGTTATCGCAGAGGCACAACCATTGTTGCTAATTGTCCCAACCTGCTTTTAGGGACCATTGCAGATTTAACACCCTATTTTATAACCTGAAGTGGTAATGTAAAAAAGAAAAAAAAAAAAATTTAAAAAAATAATCCTTAAAATTTCATGTAATGTATTTGCTGACTACAGATAGTTTACAGAGCAAACATTCTTAATCTTGAAGTTGTGGCCTTTGGCCTTACTACACAAAAGGAAGACAACTTCTAAAGAGCAGTAAAAACACTGGCATTGCTTCTTTCTGTCTTTGCAAAAGTTATGATGTCTTCATTGAAGTTATATGAGGCTTCACTTCCCATTTTCATCAAAAAATATGGAACTAAAAGTCCAATCAGTCTGAAATGGTAAGAAATTTCTCCCAAAGAAGGTGCCGGGAGAGTCCTGTGAATGTAAAGGATCTGAGGGAGCACACTTTTTAATCTTGCAGGAGTCCAAATGAAAAGCTGAAATATCTAATTAACATAGTATTAAGCAAGGTGCAAACAAACTTGGTTAACTGAAGTGTCCTGTGAATATTTAATAGAAATTTCCAGGATTTTTAGCCTTAAGCCTCAGTGTCTAATCACTTGTATCACTAGGGTATACTTTTTATATCACAAGTATACTGCTTTTCATTGATCCTGCTGCTAAGCTGTAGAGTGGGTGTCCTGGGATGTATGGTGTATTTTGAGGCTGCAAGGACACTTAGACATTAGTAGAGCTGTTTGATTACTTCCTTTCAGGTAGATTTACTGTCTGATAATTTTGCCTTGCAAGCATTGGGTTTGTCTACTCTGTTATGTGTAATTGCATTCCAGAGACAAGTGCTTGCAGGTGTTGTGTATTGGCAATTTTATCTTAAGAACATTTTAAAAAAAAAGCTTATCCTGAAAATGCAGATTTGCTAAATTTTCATCTGTGTCTGCTTATTTTTTATGGAAGATGAAACAAAATGCTAAGTTTGATGTAAGTGAATGTCCTTCATAGGCATAAACTGTGTAGCTATCCAGGCACAGATTTTTGCCATTTTCAGGAACTGCAGCTGTCAGAGTTGCTGTTCATGCAGTTTGTTCTGAAACAGAGTTGAGATGCTATCTCCAAAGATACTTCTCCTTCAGTTTTCTGAATTTATTATTGTGTGGAAGTGAAATGCATTGCTATTTACATGCATGCCCCCTGACTCCCAAGTAAGCACTTAGAATCATGCTAATTACATACTTTACTTTTTGTAGTTCCCAGATCATGAGTCCTATTCCACCTGTTTCCTCACCACCTCTGACTTCTAAGACAAAGGAACTTGCAGACAGTGAAAACCTTGATGTAAGTCAAATGCTTTAGCTTGTGTTTTTGATATTTTTTTAGTGATCCAGTACTGTTTTTAGGGAAGGTGTGTGTCTGTGAATATTTGAATCTTTCTACTGTATCTTGCTGAATACTTAAAGTGCTCAAAGAATATACCTGTAAAGTAAATGCAATGGAAATAGCAATAGCTTAACTGATTTTTATGTTTTACAGCCCATCTATTTACATACATGGTCACACTATCCAAAATCAGGCAACTGAGGACTGAATTCTTCATAAAATTTAAGCACTCTCCTTTAAAGGAGAAAATTACTGCAAAAGCTATTACATGCTGATTAAATACTGATAATTGCATGTGTTCAAGGTATTTTAAAGCAGGTTTTTAAACAAAAAACTGTTATCCTTGTTTTAATCTCTTCAATCTGTTCTTCCTGTAGCCATATTCTTTGGTGTGTCATCCTTTTCTGAACCTAAGTGAGACACTGTGTTGATTTACATCTGTCAAGGATTATACTCAGTTTCTACCAGAAGTAGAAGAGTAATAAGAATGGGATTGGAGGGAGGGAAAGATAGAAGGTAAAGACAGTTCAAGGGAATCTGATTTTAATCTGATGAGCAGTTAATTGGTCTTTGAACTAAAGATCCATTCTCTATTGCAAATCTTCCTTTTTGAGTCTCATTACTGCTTAGAAAATAAGTGTCAAATTGAGCATATCAGTAAAGATACACAGATTTCTTGTTGGAATATTAAATGTTGAAAAAGCAGCTAAATACTGTGTACCCTCTACAGATTTTTTTTATGTTAAGACGTAGAACATCTTGAAGAGTTTCAGATATTCTGGATACAAAACAGGGTAGTAAATTTCTTTCAGGGTTGAGTCTTACAGCAAGGGATAATTATGTAGGAAGAAAGTGTAACATATTGTAAATAGAAACTTCACATTAAAGGTTTATTGTTGGAGAACATCATGAACTTTTGACATGTTGGTAAATATATTACTGTAGTAGCAGACCTTTTTTTACTTGTGTTGTTGCTGGATTTGGAGTAATAGTAAAACTAGTGTGATGTAAATATTAGGTTGGGTTGGATTCAGATTTTACAAGGGAATGTATCTCTCAAAACTCTCTACAATTATTAGGGGTTTTCCCTTAACTTCCTGTCTCTCTCAAGTGCTTTGACTTTTTGTAGCTTAATTTTGCTTTTCTTAAATCCCTTCCAGCAAGACCTTTGCACATTCTTGATATCACGAGCATGCAAAAATTCCACATTGGCAAACTACTTGTACTGGTATGTTAGAATCTATTTATTCATATTTTATCAATGTCTAATTGAAATCCAAGCCATAATGCCTGGAAGGATGCACAGCAAAAGATGATCTGTCTTAAGAACTTGAGAATCTCAGCTTCTCTCAGGTTGAAGTAGTAGATTAAAAACAATATACATTTGAACAGAATAATTAATAAAAGGAGAGGGCTGTTTTTTAAAACGCACAAATATACTTTACTTGTAGACCAAGGAAAGTGATTTGTAGGTCATTAAGTACAGTGTTTTGTGTTGGGTTTTTTTTTAAAAAAAAAAAAGTCTAACTGTGTTTTGTAAGTTGTCATTCAAATTGTTTATGGTAGTGGGGAGGAGATAAAGTTCATCTGCTCTGTTTTTCTGTTTGGTTTGTGTTTATAGTTTTTGACAGTGTTGGCTAGAATATTAAAGTTTTGCACTTCAGTATTAATCAAGAATATACTTTCTGAAGGTTCATAAATCTAATTTTTTTGTGCTAATCTATTTTTTTTAGATTCCATTTGTGGTTATATTATGAGCACAGACAATGTCATTGCAGATGTGTGCTTTATTATGGGGGAACTTTAGTTTTCTATAGTTCATCTGGATAGTGGACAATTAAGATTACTTAGCTAAGGTTCTAGTCTCACTTCAGTAGTTTAAGAATTGAATTAGATGCCTAAACTAGCCATCTGCATGCCTTCTGAGTAATCATTTGCAGAAAAGAATTATCTCATTTGAAAAAACTGAGGTGAATAGGGCTGTACTCTGAAAGTCTGTGTATATGTGTATTTGTTAATGTACATATATATATGCATATGCACAGCACATCCAGCTATTTACTTGTATATACACATCTCTGCTAAAACAGAGACCTTTTGCATGGCTAAACTTAAGTCAAATGATTCTCATTTGTATCCTTTGTAGATGCTTCTAATAATTAAAAATACTAATAATATATACGATCATATGTTAATGTGCTATGAATATTAACCACAGATAAGTCATGAGTTGGGAACAGAAGGTGATATGTGAGACAAACCTACCAAACTGTTCTTACAAAATTCTTAAAAGAATACTAACCTATCCTGAGTGTGATGCCATTTGTAAATGTCTTTTTAAGTTTTATTATTTCATTGCCTTTTCAGTAGCTTGAATTTAAGATATTTAAGTGCATGACTTATCTACAGTTCCTTAGTGTACATACTTCAGTTGCAGTGGGCAAAGGTATTGTTTGACTTCAGGAAAAAGTGCTATTAAATTTAAATGATTAAAATAATTGCAGGCTGAATTGATGTAGGTAGAAGGCAAATACTTGACATAATCAAATATTCTTCATTAAGATAAGTGTTAGTAGGTTAGCTTATTTCTATCACATTGATAGAAACTGTGCACTTACAGTTCAGCAATATCTCTGACATTCAGTCTACAGAAAGTTCAAACATCCAGAACTCTGAAGTTTTTGTCTTATTACTTAAAATAAAAAACACCCTCCACACCCCCTGAAAAAAAATAAAAAACAAAAACCAGAAAACAGGCAAACAAACAAAAAACCCAACAAAACACCCACCAAACAAAAAAACCCAGTCAATTTATTCTTTGTTTTCTTCCCAGACATCTCAATTTCTCAGTGACAAAATACAAATGTTGCAGCCGCTGTTTGAGCTGAAGTAGCCATAAATCCTCCTGGCTGCTGATCAATTGCTTGTTTCAACTATTCAGACATAGCATGCACCTAAAATAATCAATGGAAAAAGTACAATAACCCTTGAAAATCAAACCTCCTGCTCAGTCACTTGTCATTGTAAAGCTATCCCATCCTTATGGTTTAACAGTGGCTCCAGAAGTCAGTGCTACTGCATTTTTCTGTCTCTTCTTTGGGCGTATGAGACACTTATCCAAGTATGAAGCATTACTCTTACTCCTTGTTTCAAGATAGCTTTGAGAAACTGTCTAGCGCTTTTTAACAAATGAACATGAAAATGGCATGTTTCAGTTAATTACTTCCTGTTTTCCTCGTGGTGCGCAGACTTTGTAAATATGGGGTTATTTTTATACACATATTACTGCAGTCTTATTTTGTCATTTTAGTGAGGTAATGGAGTTGAACAGTATATTGGCAAAGGCCTAGAAGTAATCTTTAGTTATAGATTCCATTGAGATAATACTCATGGAATACGCTACGTATGCTGTATTTTAATGTATATAATATTTTATCTATTTATAAATAAGAGTAGTCAAATCTGATCAACTGCAAATGACAGACCTCTGATCTTGACCGATAACCATTCAGTTGCAAAGAGATCTGCACAAGTGCATAAAGAAGGGGTACCTCTAGCTGTGAGTGTGAACTCCCAAGTGTGAATTTTGAATGTGTAGAGACACTTTTAAATCCAAATGCAGTATTTGAAAATCAACTGACTTGCTACTTTGTTTTTTTTTTAAATTGTGGGGTTATATGTTTTCACTGGATTGATAGCTGCTTTTTGCTTGTCAGTGCTGCAAGTAGAAATAAGCACAAAAGCAGTCCAAGCAACTGCTTAATGTATCAAATTTTCAGTGTAACTGTCCCAAATTGTAATGTTTAAATCTCATACCTAAGTAATAATTTTAGAAATGAAAACTTACTTTAGAAGGTAGACTCTGGAGAGCTGCTTCAGGACCAAAACCATCTCTTCCACCGTTGCCAGTGGTAAAATAGGGACCAAGTAGAGTGAGGTCCTTCTTGTTTTTGCAAGTATACTTGAATAGCAAGTTTGCAGCAACTACCTTATGTAGAGCGTAGTAGCACAGTGGAATGCCTACTCCTCCCACATGTACTGCTTGGTTGGAGTGTTTGTATGGTTTGGATTTCTGACTTGTCCTGGTTAAGTGATGCCACTTCACTGCAATTGAAAGACTGCAGAAACTTTGATAGGCTCTCCTGACCTAAGCGCGAATTTGTGACTGCAATTTTGATGAGCTTACGTGTTGGTTGAGATAGAGATCTTATTCAAAGATCAACTTTATTTTTAGTTCTAGGCCTATAATACAGGTCTACTGTATTTCACTCATCGTGTAACATGAGAATACAGCATAACTTGAGTCGTTTTTATGCTGCAGGTATGTAATAGTAGAGTGTGAAGACCAAGACACTCAGCAGAGGGACCCAAAGACTCACGAAATGTACTTAAATGTGATGAGAAGATTTAGTCAAGCTTTGCTGAAGGTAATTCCTCTGTGCAAGGAAACACATAGTAGTTTGGGATAGTCGTTGTTGAAAAATGCACAGAAAATTACAGGTTTTTTATGTCATATATTGAAATTTTAAAAAGCTTCCACTTTTACTTGAATTTTGAGTTTGTGGTAAACCAAAGAAACTACTGAAAAAAGAACAAGTATTGAAAACTCTTTCCTCTGTTTTACTGTTTGTTCCTGTTAGTAACATGCTGGGCCTAAAATCCTCTGCCTTGTGTAATGAGTCTATTTCATTTAGTATTTCTTTATCGGAAGCACTTGTCCTTGCAGTGCAAATTGAGACAAGAGGCTCATCTTTTGAATTCAGTGTTGTTCTGTGAATCAGCAGCAGAGGGTGCTGGAGCAGAGGGGAAAAAAAGCAAAAACAAAGCCCAAACTTTTGTGAATTGCAAGCTATAATTTATAGCAGATGTGCAGTCTTTCCTGATTCTTGTGTTATCTCACACTTCATATTAATTCAGATTTTAGGGACATTACTCAAATCTGATTTACGCTTCATATGAATATTCCATATGCTTATCCTTACTAACTTATTTTGGCTGTGTGAATAGGTTTGTCATGCATGACTGTTCACCACTGAAATTGCTGAAGCAAATTGAAGTGCACTGGTAGGTCAAATAATTGATTGCCAGCTACAGTGATTCTGATTGTGTTTCACAGAAAATACCTTTTGAATTGACAAGAAATTGATCGTTATTCACTTACCTCTTAAAAGCCCAAAGGTCTAAGAATAAAGGAATAATTTCCAGGTAAAGTTATTACAGAACAAAGAACTAATTTTGTTTTCTTTTTAATTCACTTAGGGTGATAAGTCTGTCAGAGTTATGCGTTCGCTGTTGGCTGCTCAGCAGACATTTGTAGATCGACTGGTTCATGTAATGAAAGCAGTGCAGCGTGAAAGTGGGAACCGTAAGAAAAAGGTAACTAAAGGATTGTAAAACTTAGCTCTGGCTAGAATTTGATAATAGGAATATTAGCTTTTCACTAAAAATTCTTAGCACTGAGATTTATAACAGATGTCCATGTGTATTGTAATAATTTTAATTAACTTTAAACAAACTTTGGAGAGATTTAGGTGGGTCAGAATTCCACAGTGTTCTGGAATTTTGTAGATGAAAACCAGAAGAAGCCCTCGAGAAAAATCTTGGTATATTTTGGCAAAAGAAAGATATGAGAATAATTGAATAGTTGATGATGTAGCAGTGAACAAGTTGTGGGAGATGTGCAACGGTAACAGGCTATTGTGATGTGAGAATTATGGCAGGAGAGATATTAAAATTTGATTAGCAGCAAGATTTCATTTGTTTCAAGAGCAACTAAACTTTTCTTTTATGAGGTATATGTTTAGCAGAACTTTGCCTTCTGTTCTGTCTTGATGAAGAAGATTTCTATCACAGGTTCATTTTAGGAAGCTTTGTCCTCTGTTAAAATATTTTAAGTGATCTTGACAGACAGATGTGGGGAGGAAGCGGGAATGCCAAAGGAATTTCTGTTCATGTAGTTTCTTTTCCTTTGACACACATCAATATTTTTAAAAATGCATTTTTACATGTAATGATTTTTGTCACCTTCTTTCTTTAAATCTGTGGGATATATTTGTGCACGAAAATGAAACACTTAAGTGATGCATCATATGTTTCATGTGAATATTACATGTATTGGTAATAAAAGTGTAATCACTAAAATAGAAGAAGGGTTTTTCAGTTCATAACAATGTATTTTCTGCTTGTTCAATACATTGGTATCATTCTGTCATACATTCTTTTATAATTGCCAGGATATTTGTGTAAAACTGAAGAACGCATGGCTTTGATTTTTGGATTAAAATCTAGCTAGCAGCAATTAACCACTAGACATTCATATCTATGTGAACTGTTGGCGATTTTGTTTTATTGGTGGTAGGGGATCTCCTTGAATTCAGAGATTTAAAGGATCAGAGCTAAATAATTGTTTCTAAAATAGGACTAACATTTGATACTGGTATGGAAAACAAATCATCCTGCTACTTGTGCAGGCAATTTAGAAATAAATTTTTGTAAGACTGTTATATCTGGCACTTATAAAATAGCTTGACTATACTCAGACTAGATGGAATATCTACTTTCTTACTCACATTACTGCAGATAGAGAAATTTTATTTCACTGAATTTTAAGAGGAAATCTTGATTCTTTGGAAGAGTAAATAATAAATTGAATATTTATTAATAATACATCCTTTGTTAAATGACTTTTGTTCATATATACTTCATAATTGGTTTATGTTGTTTTGGGTTTTTTTAAACAAATTTTTATTCTTACTCTTTTAGAATGAGAGGCTTCAGGCACTATTAGCAGATAATGAAAAGATGAATTTAGCAGATATGGAACTTATTCCACTTCCCCTGGAACCTCAGGTGAAAATTAAGGGGATAATCCCTGAAAAAGCCACACTCTTCAAGGTAAATGACATCTTCTGAGTAGTTGAAATACAAACAAATCTTATGAGCAATAAGCTTAGAAACATCAGTTGAAAGATTTAAAGGGGCTGACATGGTTGAGGCAAAATGTAACGGTAATGTGCTGTTAAAGCGGTTATACAATTCTGTTTTCTTTGTGAAACTTTTTTCAAGTTAATGTGCAAACTTTAAAGACACTTTTATAAGTCTGATACAGTTTATAAAGTTTATGAAGCCTCTAAGCTCAAGTCAGAATTTCTTTGAACTTTAGTTAGATTGTGTTCAACAGGAATACCACTTAGATCAAAATCATACAAATCAAGTCAGCTGTGCTGCATTTCGGCTACATGTATGTATCTATCCCATTGCAAAATAAAAATGTTAAATTGGTAGAGACTGAAAAGCAATAAGGTTGTCAATTTCATGCAGCTTCAGTGAGTTGACAGGTAGATTCTGTATCCCTGTGAATGGTTGTCCTGGTTTGGGCTGGGATAGAGCTAATTTTTCTCCTTAGTAGCTGGAAGAGTGGTAGGAGGTCCTTAAAACATTCCATAGCAGTTGTTTGTGATCACATAGCCATCCCTTAATCTAGTTTATAAGCAGTCAATATACTGTTGAAAAGGCTGGGGTTATTTTGCTTCCTATACTACTTGGAATGTAGGTTATTGCCTGGAATGTAAGTTACTACCTGTGTCTAATGATGTAGGACCTCTTTATAAATGTACTTTCAACTCATATAGGTGACTGTGATGTAGTTTAAGATGACAAAAACGTGCTTTACAAGTCAGGCCTATATCCGGGATTCATTCCCTGCAAGTTAAAACGTGTACAAGCTGCTGTGACAACCAGTGTTAATCCATCATTTCTACTAGGTCATAAATTTATTATGTCCAGTAGCTTCAAACTTCAACAGGCTGCTTGTTGACTGTAATATAATTTGTGTTTAATTAAAGCACGAGGTGAACATTTTTGTATAGTTTTCTATCATACTGTCTCTTGGTTTCCCATATTTGATTTGCTTCTTCATGTACCATTTAGTCTCATTGAAGAGTATGCTTCTGCAATTTCATGCTCTTGCACCTCAGGTTGTAGGCAACATTGCAAAGATCTTGTCATGAAAACAAGATTTTGCAAACTTGATCCAACTTTTAGTGTCAATGTGACTTCAGGGTTGGGGGAAGAGTGTTGATGAAAAGACTGCTGGAACAGCAACTAAATATTTTCTGTCAATAAAGAACAGCTTAACCTGGTCAGGACAAACTCAAGTCCGGTAGCCTTCTACATGGTCTTCTGTAGCCATGTAAAAATTTAGGAACAAAAATATGAGATGTAACTTGTTTCAAAATCAGAGATGATTTAAGAGGGAACAATGACTAATTTTAGGTGCTCTTGGACATCACATGGCAGCTTTGGTAGGACAATTTAAATATTTTTTCCTTTATTTATGGATTGTAATAATTCTGAAGCATTCATTGAATGAAAATCTAATGTGACTGATGAATTATTAAACTCTATCCCTGGCTGGATTTTTTTTGTTTTGGTTTTGAGGGAAGTGACTTGGTCAGTCTCAACAGATGAAGTCATTCATGTAGGTAATTGATCCCCTTCAAACCATTTTATGCAGAGAAATTGCAAACAATTAAATTGGCTTTCTCAAACAACAATGTAAAAAGACATTTTTGCTTTTACTAAATAGATTAAGGAAGCAATTAAACGTTTAATATGTCTAGCCTCTAGCATTTCTTTGATGTTTATCCTATAATTGTGTCTCTTTTTGATCTGGTCAGTTTAAATTTGTTTTGTTGTGACCTTTTGCGTAGTATTTCTATGTTGATTGGAGTTACATGTATACAGAGGAAACTTGAATACTTGTGTCCTCTCCTCCTTTGCTGCTGAGGGAAGGTGAGGGGGGGAATGTATCCTTCACACTCCTCACTAAAAAAAGGAAAGTCTTAAGGTATCTTTTTTTAAAAACATGCCTACATCACACTTTTGGTAACTGGAAACGGTATGTTCTAACTGTTTAGTCCTAGACAGTGAGTAACTGCTTTTTAGAAGCCCTAAAATTGCTTCTTTTTTACCAAACTTGAGGAACATGGAAAGAGTGCTGATGCTCACTGCCACACTGTTGATATTCAAATGGATCCATTCTAAATCTTTATGTAACTGAAGTTGATACTTGAGTCCTATGGCCTGTTACATGTTTAATTCACTTCTGATCTACAGTGCAGTAAACAAAGATTTATATTTTATAACTGTATTGTAGGAACATGTTAATATGAACATAGCTGTGAACCAACTTAATTGAATAAGTTTCCTTTTCCAGAGTGCGTTAATGCCTGCACAGTTATTCTTCAAGACAGAAGATGGAGGCAAATATCCTGTAATTTTTAAGCATGGTGATGATTTACGTCAAGATCAACTTATTCTTCAGATTATTTCACTTATGGATAAGGTGAGAATTACCAATCGACATCCTTATCCTTCTGTGTTCTTGATTTTCTTTGTCTAAAGCAAGACTGTTAAAAACTGTTGATGCAGCTGATGTTGCTAATACACTCCAGGGTTCTCAGATCTTAGGTGGCTTTTTTTCTTTATAGATGTGCAACGATCCTGGGTAGAATTTAAAAATAAATAAATAAATAAATTGGGAAACAGGCTTTCACTCATTACTAATTTCAGTGAAGAACAGTGAAGATGTCCAATAGACATTTATTTTAGAAATAGAAGCTGCCTTTCTGTTTCATTAATCTTTGCTTTTGTGTGTTGTTTTTTTCCAGCTGTTAAGAAAAGAGAATCTGGATTTGAAGCTGACACCTTATAAAGTGCTGGCAACTAGTACAAAACATGGTATGGATACTTTTATTTCCTAAAGATACAGTATTGGGAGGAATCTCTTCCCTCTGCTCATACACTGTGTTGTGACACACTATTTTCACGAGAGAGGTTTTGCTTAGTACAGCATTCTAAAAAGGAGGTCAAAAGTGTAAGAAAGTGTTGCAATACAAGTCATGGAAGTAAACAACCTCAGTGACCACAGGATTCCATAGGTGACTCAAATATCTCTATAAAAGAATCCTGGATTTTGGAGTATGTGACAATCAGTAGTCTTATCTTTGCTGCTAGCTGGCTGTGTAATCTTGGACAAATAACTTTTAACACTCCTATTTATAAATCTTTGTATGAAATGGGGGAAAAAAGACAAAACAAAATCAAACTTGGCTATGCTTTTAGATACATTCCGGATAAATATTTAGAAAGCCGTTGATCTTTTCATGAAATCTTGGAAGAGTCCTTTTTGCAATGTAATTTGGTGTTAATGGCAAGTTGTTTTAAAACTACTGAAGGCAGAAAATTAGGACAAAACACTATTTTGCTGATGAGAAACAGTTGAATGAAAGTGTGTATTAGTGTTGTCCTTTAATAAACATGTGTTACAGTGTAACTTGAAAGTTCTATGCATTGGACATTTTCTTTTTTGGTTGTTTTCTGCCACAGGCTTCATGCAGTTTATTCAGTCAGTACCAGTTGCAGAAGTTCTTGCTACTGAGGAAAGTATACAGGTATGTGATGGAGGATGAAGTCAGCTTCTGATCATACAGTATAAATTGTAGGCTTAGACCTCATACAGAAGTCTTTATTCTCTCAACTAATTTTTTATCTGTTGTTAGAAGACAAATTAAAGCTTGAAACAAAAGGTTATTTACATCAGATGTTTTGCTTCAAAAAAATATATCACCATGTGAGTATTACATGCTAAAAGTAATACCGTTGAAATAGTTAAGGTGTAATTGAGGTGTGATATTGAAATCCTGGCTTTGCTGTGATGGTGAATGGAAGATGCATGACACTTTTCTGTGCTGTTTTGTTTTAAAGTATTTCTGTTGTTCATTCAGTAGTTTTGGCTTGATACCTTCTCAGAGTACGTTTTAATGATTGTTTTGGTGGAACAGCTATATGATTTGTTCATATAGTTTCAGAACTCTGCTTCCCTGCCATAGTGAATGCATAGATACTGTGGGATATTTTTTTTTTTTTTTCCTTCAGCAGACTTTCTGTAACTGTCATGGAATTAAGTAGGGACACATAAGTGAATAGTGGTACACAAAATTCATGCTAGTTTCAAGTACAGCATACAGGCTAGGTTGCAGAGCTCAGCTGCTTGAGATAAATATACTTAGATAAAAACATACCAAATTGTCATATGAGATATTGCCGCGATTGAGAGACGGAGACCCAGCTCGATGCAAGTCAGGATCTACTTTATTGAACACAACAACCGCTTTTATATTCCAAACAGACAGAGAGAGACACGTGTTTTAAGCTGATTGGCACAATGGTTAATCACCTAATACATATTACAAAAGTTGAGCTCATGATTGGCTAACGTCTAAGGTCAGCTTGACTTTTTCTGCAGTTAATTTTCTGCTAGCTCACAGCATTCTTCTTCTTAACGACTTCTACTCCTGTTTCTATAGCACGTGCTTATCTCTAGTTACAAACCAGCCCTCCTGGAAGAAATCGTCCTTAGCCCCAGGGGTGTAACAGTTTGCTTACAGAGTATGCAAATTACGAGACGCCAAGTTGAGCACGTCCTTGCTGCTAGAAGGAGAGACCAGGCTGCCCCCGACATCTCCCCCTTCTTGTTGCACAATAAGGACCCTTTTCACTGAACTGGCTATCAGGTTCTGCACACACTGCAAAAAACAGGGTAAACAAAGTAACAAAACAATAAAAACGACTAAAGCATACACAATCATTTTTACAAGGCTTCTCAACCATCCTGATAGGTCCCAACCTCCAAACAGTTTATCCAGCCAATCCCAACTATCGTCTTGGTGAAGTTTGGAAACCCCCTCTTTGAGTTGCTGTATAAGAGACCAGACAGTGCCTGACTTGTAGCGTTAGTTTGTTTTGCAAGCCAGCAGCCTAGTTTGTCTAGAGTTGCTAAAGCTCTGCCAGCAGCAGCTCCGGGCAGGAACAATGAGGCTGCAAAACGCTGACTGAAAGACCAAAAATCCACTTTTTCGCACAAGTATAACATTCACACAAAACCCAAGGGTCACAATTTTCACATGAACCACAGGTAATTTCTGCAATGGACAGTTCTCGATACTTATTCATGTAATTCCTTCTTCAGTTGTGATGTTTCCGGGAAGTTCTTCTGTCTGCTGTCCAAAATTCTGATTGGAGCACTCCGGTCCGACTCCAGTTGGTTGTGGCAGGGGTTCACGAAAAGGTCGTACGCTCTTCGCGGGAATCCATCTAGGCCCTTTCTCTGTAGAAACACAAGCATAGCCTCTACCCCATGTAATAAGGGGATAAGGTCCCATGACTGTACCTGTTTCTGGATCTCGGATCAGCACGGGCGGCTTGATTTGCAGTTCGAGCGAAGCATTCGTATTAAAATGACGGACTATGGGAGGATTACTGTCTATCAAAGAACAATTCAGAAAATTAAAAACATATAAAGCTTTCTGAAGACGTTCCTCGGGGGTAACGGTCCCTATTCCCCCTTTTTGTTGTTGCAATAAGCGTTTCAGAGACTGATGAGAGCGTTCAATTAAGGATTGGCCCGTGGGGGAATGAGGGATACCCGTAATGTGGTTGATCCCCCAAGAACTCAAAAACTTTTTTAATTGCAGTTGAAATATATGCAGGGCCATTGTCAGTTTTAATTTGAGAAGGTATGCCTAAAGTGGCAAAAGCACGCAGCAGATGTCGTTGAACATCGCGCGCCTTTTCGCCAGTATGACAAGAGGCAAATAATGCCCCAGAAAAGGTATCAATAGAGGAGTGAATATATTTTAAGTGACCAAACTCCGAAAAATGAGTGACGTCGGTTTGCCAAAGTTGCAAACTTTGCAATCCTCTAGGATTAACTCCTCCTGCTATTGTAGGAAATGAGTGCCTTTGACAATCGGGACACACAGCAACTATACTGGTTGCCTGCTGAGTAGTAAGGCCAAATTGTCGCTTAAGCCCACCAGCATTTTGGTGAAAGAAAGCGTGGCTAAGTTTTGCTTGTGCTATGCGGTCTGGCAGTACCTGTACCGGTAATGTAAGCAGGTCAGCTTGCCGGTTCCCTTCCGCTATAAAGCCAGGTAAGGAAGTGTGAGATCTGACATGCATAATGAAATAGGAATGAATGCGAGAATCTAAAAGAAAAATAAGCTCCTGTAACAAAGCAAATAATGCAAAATGTGAGACATTTCGTAACACAGACGCCTCAGCTCGTTCAACAATCCCTGCAACATAAGCTGAATCAGTGATGATATTAAGCGGTGTAGACCATTTTCTAAAGGCTCGGACGACGGCAGTCAGTTCCACGATTTGGGGGGAACCCGGCACTGTCTTTATATCCGATTCCCATTGTTTGCGCTGGTCGTCCCACCAGAGGATAACAGATTTATGGGACTTCCCAGATCCATCTGTAAAAACAGTAAGAGCTTGCAAAGGCTGGTCACTCCTCTTTGGTCTAGGTACAAGCTGGAAATTAACATTAAACAATTTATGAGAAGGTGGGTGAGAAGTGAGTTGGCCTGTATAACCAGCTATCGCTATACTGAAGGCTTCCGATTGTTGGTGAAGCCACTGCAAATAATCACTGACCATAGGCAAATAAATACAAGTGAAGTCCATTCCAGACAACATTAACAAGCGCCGCCTGGCACGGACAATCAAGGATGCAAACATTTCATGCTGTGTTGAGATGGTTTTCGTGGGTTGATTCGGTAAATATAACCATTCAATGATAAGCAACGGGTCAGACTCCTGCAAGTCCCATTGAAATATCAAGGCATGAGGCTGTCGAGCAGGATTCAAAATGATTAAAAGGAAAGGTAACTCAGGGGCATCTCGATGTGCCTGTCTTAAGGTAATAGCTGTAGCAACTTTTTGTAAGGAATCAACAGCTGCAGGGTTGAGAGCGCGAGGGGAACATAAGTCTGTGCTCCCCTTAAGCAGGTCGAATAAAGGACTTAAATCTGCATTGGAAATTCCTAGCAAAGGTCGGACCCAATTAATTGTTCCCAACAACTTCTGCACATCATGCAAAGTCCTCACATCTGCTTGAATTAGTAAAGGCTGTGGGACTATAGTTTGAGCCCGTATGCGCCAGCCTAGATATTTCCATGGTGGTATTTTCTGAACCTTTTCTGGCGCAACACAAAGACCTGCTGAATTAACAGCAGTTATGACAAGGGCTACAGCTTCCTCCATGACTTCGTGATGTTGTGCTGCCACTAGAATATCATCCATATAATGGTACAATAAAACGCAGGGCATCTTTGTTCTAACAGGGCTAAGGACCTTGGCTACATACCATTGGCATATTGTGGGACTGTTTTTCATTCCTTGTGGTAGCACAACCCACTGATATCTCTGCAATGGAGCTTGCATGTTGACGCTTGGAACTGAAAAAGCAAATTTAGGAGAATCTTCTGGATGCAAGGGGATATTAAAAAAGCAGTCCTTGAGGTCAATGACTGTCAGAGACCAGTCCCGGGGGATCATTGTGGGAGAAGGGAGCCCTGGTTGCAGGGCTCCCATGTCTTCCATAGCGTCATTAATTTTTCTGAGGTCATGGAGCAAGCGCCACTTGCCAGTTTGTTTTTTAATCACAAAAACAGGTGAATTCCAGGGGCTTACAGAGGGCACAACATGTCTTTTGGATAACTGTTCATCAACTAATTCTTCCAGGGCGCGAAGCTTTTCTAGCGGCAGGGGCCATTGATCCACCCAGACAGGGGTATTAGTTTTCCAGGTTAATTTCAGGGTGTCGTGCACCTCAATGGCCCCTCCTAAAAATGCGTTTGGAGTCCCCTCCCCCATTGCGACTCCCATAGCGAATACTGTGTGGGGGTTAACAGCAACTGTGCGAGAGATTTGAGATCATGCGGAGTCATGACATAAGTATCTAAGACAGAAGATAACAAACTCGCGAAATATGGGGAAGAGAGGCCATGCTCGGTAACAGTACGGCGCAACTCCTTCACCACAGGGAAGGATAATGCCTCCCATTGAGCCCCCCTCCCCTGATAGATAACAGGAGCGACTATTTTTTTCGCAAGTTGCAAGTCCCCCTCTTTCAGAGCTTGTCGTTTAATATTTGCCCATACGTCCTGGGGATCGGGAGGGTAGAGATCTGGCTCCTCCTCTGGGTCCACTGGTCCTGGATCAAAAGGATCATCCTCTGGGGGGTACTTGGCGGCGCCCACCTCAAGAGGCTCCGAGGTCTTCTTATCGACCGGGAGACCTTTCCTGTCTTTAGTGTCTTTATTCTTAACGGTCTCCTGAGCCTTCAGAGTTTCAAAGATAGTCCTCCACCACGGGAGCATGCGCTGTGCTTCAGCATTCCCTGTTGTAGCCGCGTCCCACAGCTTAATCCGCACGTCATCCCAAAGCTCAGTCGTTAATATACTGGAAGCAGTTACAGTGGGGATTTTCACTTGTACCCACTTGAGCATAACCTTAAGATCTTGCCCAGAGAGATTCTTTTCATATTTTTCAAGAAGGGCTTTCATAAGTTCGTACACGTCCCTCTCTGGGGAAGACACCTGACTTCCCATGTCTCCCACAGCTCACCTCACAACTCCGGAGGGATTCTTAATGCTGGCTCCTGCTTCCTTTCAGCAGCTCATTCAAAGTTCTGTGGGACTCGCAGCATGCCACGCAGATAGGTGGTTCTTAATCCCGAATCACGTCGGGGTCACCAATTTGCCGCGATTGAGAGACGGAGACCCAGCTCGATGCAAGTTAGGATCTACTTTATTGAACACAACAACCGATTTTATATTCCAAACAGACAAAGAGAGACACGTGTTTTAAGCTGATTGGCACAATGGTTAATCACCTAATACATATTACAAAAATTGAGCTCATGATTGGCTAACGTCTAAGGTCAGCTTGACTTTTTCTGCAGTTAATTTTCTGCTAGCTCACAGCATTCTTCTCCTTAACGACTTCTACTCCTGTTTCTATAGCACGTGCTTATCTCTAGTTACGAAACCAGCCCTCCTGGAAGAAATCGTCCTTAGCCCCAGGGGTGTAACAGTTTGCTTACAGAGTATGCAAATTACGAGACGCCAAGTTGAGCACGTCCTTGCTGCTAGAAGGAGAGACCAGGCTGCCCCCGACAAGATATGACTAAGCTGATAAGTTTTTTTAATGAAAATGCAGCAGGTTTATATTAGACTGTATTTGTCACAGTATCCTTTTTTTCCCTTTTTTGTAGTTGATACTGAAGTTTACATTTGTTCATAGCTCACTAACTGGGAGCCAAAGCATATAGCTCTCAGCTACTATAAACTACATATATTAAAAATACAGAGATTAATAAATTATTATAATTTGTCATTATCATTTGCTTAACAAATAAGATAATCAGATGTTTATAATTCTATAAAAAAAGCTTATCATTCGTCAGACAATGACCAGCATCAAGTTGCCTAAGTTTTTTGAGCTTTCCATTCCGTAAAGATTGTGATAAACTACATCTACACATTCAATAATCATACAGTTTGTAAAGTGTTTTCTTGGTAATCCTTTGTAATCTTGGAAACGTAGTATTCATATTCTATTCCATTATATGGTTTTATAAAATAATATACTTAGAAATACTTGTGAAATTGTCATTTTGCAATTACTTATAACATCATATTCCAATCTGAAGTAGGTACCCCACTGTTTTAGTTGCTTTGCAGACCTAAGAAGCACATAATCTCATTAGGCAAGGTGCCAAAAGAATGTTACCTAAGATTACTTCACAGGTTAATGGAAGAATGCATTGCAAGGCCCAGATGTCCTGTGCCAAAGCATGTTAAAATAGCTGGGCATTGTAGGCCAAGGAGATATAAACTAGATGAACATTTTTAGGTGTTATGACAGTTCAGTTTATTCACTTTGGGGATCACAGCTGTTTTAATAAAGATGGGTACTGTATGTAACTATTAAAGAATGTTCACTTCTTAAAAAATGTAAAGCAAGCAATCTAATACTGACTAGTAATACAGATCTGCAGGAAAGAAAAGATGTTTTGAATTTGGAGCGTTACTTACCTTCTATCAACAATTTTGAAATTGCAGTTCATGTTTTGGAGGTATTTCTGTCCCACAGATGGTCTGAAGTCTGCGTTGTTTTGTTTGGTTGGTTTTTGTTTTTTTGTTTTGGTTTTGTTTTGGTTTTGTTTGTATGTTTACATACAGCATGTAAAATTTTAGAGCACTGAAATTAGACCTCTCTCGTACCTTGTTAACCAGTTTAAAATTTTCTTTCACATTTCACTTAAGGGTTACATTCAACAGAATCTTTCTGCTCCTTTTGTTGATCTGGCCTAAACAGTTTCCTCTGTAAATATTTGCACTCATAGTTATTAATTAGTAACTTTTCAATGCATTGTTAATTTTCTGAGGCTGTTAACAAAGAAAACTGCGTTTCAGTTTGAACTTCAGGTCTGTTTCTGAGTATAAGAATTTGATGAATAAGACAAAATAAATAAAGCGATACAAAATTAAATTAGATCTTCCTGGGGTTTTGGGAGTGGTTGCTAGTTTATCAGATTGTAATAATGGCCATTTGTGGTCTTGATTTAAACATTTTTTCCTACCAGGTCTGAAGATCTTGATTCAGATCATGTAGAATAATGGAATATGTTGGTGTCTTCCCTCCAGAACTTCTTCAGAAAACATGCACCTAGTGAGACTGGCCCTCATGGAATAAGTGCAGAGGTGATGGACACATATGTTAAGAGCTGTGGTAAGTTACAGTCTTACAGTTGGTAACTTAATATCTGAAGTATAAAGGACAGGGTAGATGAGGTATTATGACATTTCAATTTAGATGACTGCAGATAGGGGACTATACACATACTTGCTGTGAGAATCTCTGTGAAAACAATAGTTTTGCACCTGGCATGTCATATACAATGCCTTTTCTCTGCCCTTTTTGGTATCCTTAAAGGAGACTAGAAGTTAAATACTCTTTGCTTTCTGGCAATAATCTTACCTCTGTCCCCTCCACATCATGAATTGGGGTTTTTATAATTCAGGGAGTTGTAAAGCATTTATATAATAATAAGTCATCTGTATTTAAGGTAGAAAGTTTTAACTTGTTTTTTAAGCATCAGAGTTTTTTGGCGGTGAGGCTATATTCAGCTTGCTTCTGTATGACAAGAAAAAGACGTAGGGTAGTTTTTGTTCCATAAACTGATGGCAATGTTAAAATATTTACAGTCCATTAAATTAAATGCAGCTTCATTAAAAAAAAAAAAAAAGGCAACAGAAATTCAGTTGTTACTTCACAGTATCTTCTTCTTTCCCCTTCTCCAAACTGATCTGGTTAATGGGTCAAGAAAACAGTTTAAACAATTCACCATTTATCACTGCCTGGCTTACTGTTTAGTTTATGAATACTGCTGATGTATACATTCAGATTCATATCAATGCCGAATGCTTGTTTACAGTTGCCTTAGAATATCTTCAGTTCAAAATGTGTACATCCATTTCACTTAAAAGACTTAATCTTCTTTTCAAGTATCTTAATGCCAATATTGAATGAATTTAGGCTTTTAGTGTTAAGCATATAATTGTGTAGTAAGAAGTGAAAATCTAGGCACTACTGAATAAAATTCAGAGTTTTAATTTATTACTTCAAATATTCTTCACAGTGCTGATAATCTTGATTATTATTCTTCAGCACCACCCCTGCCCCTACTCGCTGTTAGATTTATTACTAGTGAACAAGAACTAAGATAATATCATATGCTGTTAATTGTGTGGAACTTGTTGCTCTTTATGAAAGGTACTTATATTGATGTTTACAATTTACTTGTTACAGCTGGTTATTGTGTAATTACTTACATCCTTGGAGTTGGAGATAGACATCTGGATAATCTTTTGCTAACAAAAACAGGTAATTCTTTTTAGCAGTATAATTTTATAACAACAGTTGTTTAATTTTTAATGTGTTGATACTGTTTTGCTCCAATTTCCTTTTGAGTATAACCCACTGAATGTTGCAGATTATAATGTCTTTTTAAATGTAAATTTATATTGTCTAATCTAAGGTAATATTTGATCCAGTGAATCAAAGTTTGCATTTTAACTATTAGTATGGTCATAGTATACAGTAAAATTTGGCTGCCTTTACTTAAGACCAAGAAACATTTCACAGTAATCTTAAACTTGGCTAAAATCATAACTACATTTTATTTCAGAACTCTTGGTCCAAAGCTGAAAAAAATAATGCATTAAAAAATATTTGTGAAGTGACTCCAGCCCCAAGTATCCTAACTGTTCTTTATCAAACTCTTTGATTTTTTGTTTAATTGTTACATTCCTGTTTAGCAGCTTTTTTTACATGCTATCAGAAAGCAAATTCAAGATGTACTAACTGGATGACAATTTAATATTAATAGTTATCAAATTACTCTGTTTTTTTTTTTATGAATGCTATTCCAAATAAAGTAGATGTTTAGACGAGTATCAGTAGTCATATAAAATTAGGTATAATCTTGATGACTTCACTGACATGTCCATGGAAATTCTTGTCTCCAATTTGACTTTTTTTTAAACAGAGTGGTTTTGTGAGCTCGCCAGATCTGTATGTTTTTCTAGGAAATTTACATGATATGTCCCAGAAGTGGGAATGTCATGTGAGAATTATCAGAGCAGGATTCCCTTCAGCATTTTCTATTCTTTGTGAATCTTATGTTCTTGATGCAACCAAACCACTGTAGAGCCAATATCCAAGTGTTTCATCATCAGCCTAACTGAGCTGGCTGGACCATTGATCTCCAGTTGAGATTACATATATATATTTTTTTTTAAGCCTTCTCTAAAAACAAAGAAGGAAATGCTCTTTAGTGACCTGGTCATTACAAATTCACAGCTGGGGGAGAGGAAGTGGTAGAAGTTACTGTTTAATCAAGTACATCCTTTAGTTTGGAGTAAAACCCGTGTTATCTTGAAAGTTCAAAATGGCAGATATTCATTTGGTTTCTCCCTGACTTGTTTCAACCCTTTTAATGTTCTTTTTTTGTCGCTATCCATATAAATTAATAACAGACCAGGTAGAGTGAATAATTGTTGTGACTAAATAAATAGATTTCTCTACTAGAGGAAATGAAGGATTAGAAAATCAAGCTACTTCAACTATTACAGTCAGTGCCTTGGGGTTCAGGGAAATTCAAGTGTTTTTGCTGAAAATTAGATTGTGTATAGCTGCATGAACTTCACGATGTTTTAACAAAAACATTTCTTGGAGGGGAAAGATTTTTTTGAGTTGTTTTTTTGTTTTGTTGGGGGTTTTTTGCTGCTTACTTTTGAACTACAGCTTCCCACAGGCATTCCGATGCCATGAATACCTTAATTACGTAGTGATGAAGAGTTATGAGTTGTGGTTCATGCTTATAATAAAGTAAAAAGTTTACTGAATGAGGAACATAAATAAAAAATGTTATTTGGGGAAAAGAGACACATCTGCGTGGAAGGCTTGTTAGTTTAGAGCTAAGACTGAAGCATGTATTACTTTGAATCAGCATATTCTCTATGAAAGAGTACAAAATTAACCATTGGGCCTTGATATTAAGGTTAGAAGTCTTGCTTTTAAGCATGCGGGGGAATAACGAAAGCAAGTGTGTTTTTCCTTACCTGTTTAGAAATGTACAAATTGGCATTTAGAAATCTGTCTTGAGAGATCTCAGTTATTTGTCTAAGGTGACGGATATAAATCTTTCCATAGCAGGCACTGCTTGCATGCTCAGAGTAGTAATATTTTAGTGTTTTGATTTGGGGTAAAGTGCACCCTGCCAGTCTATGTTAAAAAGTAACACCACAGTGGCTCTTTGGCTTGGTGGAAGAATTTAAGCAGTACAGCAGAGGGCAGTGTGCGTCCATGGTACACTCTGAGTCTGAAACCTGTTTTCAACTACTACCTATGCTCCGTCACATACTCAAGAGAGGCTTTTTGAGCTATCAAGAGAAATTCTTATGTTCCAAATACAACGGAGGCTTGCTACTGTGAATCTCTTAGTCTTAAGTTGGAAAAAACTAACTTCTCTTTAGGAATGGAGGCTGTAAGTACCTTTCTTCAAAATTGTATGACCATACATGCATCCTTTCTTAATGGTATTTATTTAATAGATTGAAGCTTTCCAGTAGGGTAAGGAATGCTGAGTACCTGCTATGGCTTCATGTACTTTTCTTGGATTTATTTGGCAATATATATCATTACCTTTCTTGGCTCTACCTTTTAGTTTGGTGCTGTGTAGCCACACCTGTGTTGGACTGCTTCCAATAGAATTGTTGAATCATCTTCTAATACACAAATAACTATGCTTATAAAAGTTATGGTATAATTTGAATATTAAACAATAGATACTGAAGTTCATAAAAAGATATTTTCCACTCACTGGTAGAAATGTACTATTTTTGCACTACAGGATGAGAATGTTTGTTACCTGTATGAAATAATTTCTGCTGTCTTTCATGACTGGTTTATGCCTGTAGTTCTAGAAATAGAGTGAATTTTTTTTAAAGTAGTCTTAAACAAAATATCTAGACTTCAGATTTTTAAATGCTATACATTATACTTCAAGAACAGCTGTAGAAGTTGTTTTGGAAAGAGATACAGAGAACTTTCAGTCAAAACATTCGCATGTATCAGTAATGTTAAAAATTACAAGAATACTTGCATCAGTTTCACAAATGTGCCTTAGCTCGTAACCTGAAGGTCACATTATATAGTCAGTATTGCATTACAGGAATATTTATTTTCTCTGAGAACTTTCAACTTCCTACTTTTCGTGAACTATGTTATCAATTGCTGTATGTTTTAATTTCTTGTTTCTAAGTCTATAACAGGAGATATTACTGTGACTTGTAAATAACAAGACACTGTTTTGCAGCTGAATGCCCAGCTTTAAGTAACATCAGTGCCTTGTGGGATTACAGACTGATTTATATATTAATACCAGCATCCAGTTTACCAGCTAATGTGCCCTTTGTTGCCTTGGAAGGAAGAGCTGGATGATTGTGAAGCTGGATTGAGATACAGGAGATACAGCATGTTAGTTAGCTTTCATGTGATATGGGTATGCTAGTATGTTTCATTTACGTCATGCCATCCCTTGAAAACACTTCTGCATTTGTTCCACTCTGGTTTTGATTGTAGTGTTAAGATCTAGTTACTGATGTAGCACCTAGATAGGAATGTCTTCATGTTTGCTAAGCCTTTTAAAGTCTTGAGACAGTTGATACAGTCATTAGAGCCTGAATAATGTTTCAGCTGTGATAGACAAGTCTCTTTTCCTATTTGAGATACCTTAATAACTTCAGCTTGCTTTATAGATGAAGATTTCACAAAGGTCCCGTCACATTTGCAGGCTATGTGTAGATACTTTAGGATATCATATGCATTCAGATGGCATTCTTGAGTAGCACTGCATGTGTGTGTCTGACCAACTAACTCACACACTACTGACTGGCCAGCTCGATCTATCAATAACCTTTAAAGGGACCTGCATGAAAATTCAAGTTCCCATTATAGGTTCTCTAAATACAGGTGGTTTGTTCTGAACTCCATACCTGAGATTGCTCTGTAGCAGTAGAGCAAATGTCTGTGTAGATAAAATTTGGTTATTAATATCTGAGGACAGGTCAAAAACTGAGGGCTCAGAACTTGAAAACCACATTTGCTTTTAGCATCTTGTGTAGATAGCTGAAAGAACTAGGCTATTAGGTGAAATAACTGGGCTCTCTTCTCATTTAATGCTTAGAGATGGAGCTGTGGTCTGTCTTCAGTATGAGTTGCACCAATTGACATCTGATTTATTCTTCAGTTTCAGTTAGAAAGGGTTGTCAGATAAGACAGAAAGATTTGAACAGTTCCATATGTGACGTGACACTGGACTTTCAGTGCTTTTCAGTTAAAACCATCTATCTCAAAGCAGGTTTGAAGATGACAAAAATGGAAAAACTGTAGGATTCAAACCCTTCTTCTATATCAGTGCTTAGATAAGTACATTAATAAATACATTTATTGATGTTGCAAACTATGATAGTATATAAAATTCACTGGAATTTTTAAATACGTTTTTAAATGTCTGGTCTTGATAACAAAATAGCAAAACTAACACATACTGTTACCCTTTAGATTTCTCTCTGCAGCTCCAATTTCTGTGATGCCTACCACAAAGAGTATAAACTTCTAGCTGTTGTCCAGATAAAACATTTTCTCTTACAGGTATCTTGAACACTACTTCTTATTTAACAGTACACATCTGACATCTTATAATATGCCTGCATGGAGTGAATTTTGAGGTGTGAGGGACAGAAAAATTAAAATGCTTAGCAGAAGCTGGGCCCTTACCCATTACATGGATGACAGTGATAAGCTTTTGTCCAGTTGTTGCTGCATACTGAATTTATAACCTGTATCCTGAATAAGTCTCTAACAATTCATGCTACTTTCTTCCATTTTCATGTAGTCTTGAAAAAGTTGTAACACGGAGCTGATGAAAATTATGACAATAAATCAGGCATTCTGATTTTTTTCATCATGGCAGTGCTCTGTTAGTAAAGGAGAAATTTTGACAGTAATATCAGAATTTGCTGAGAAAGCTATGAAATGATGCTATCCATCCGTCCACTCATTTTCATCACAGGAATTTTTATCCTATAACTTCAAATTTAAAGTAGGAATTCAGTTAAAATAGCCACTAAATTACACCTTTTCTGTATGAGCCAGGTTAAAATAATAGTGGCAGTTTCAGTGTACAGAAAATATATTGAAATTCAGCACTTGAGAGATTTTGTGTTTTGGTTGGGATAGATTTTTTGTTCCCCCCTCTTCTCAAAATTGGGAACAGTTAAGTTCAAAATATTTGGTAGGGCTTTCTTACCTGTTAAAAG